TGTGATCCTATTGTCTCAGCCTAGCATTAGTCAGTTTTTCTTAAATAATATATTGCTCAAGGCAAGTAGCATTGTTTTTTAATGTTTTAATACCGTTCAAATTTAATAGTACACTTTTATTTGAAGTCAATCAGTAGGTGTAATATTAAAATTATGGAAATAAGTGATGTTAATATCATTTGGTAGACACGAAGAAAATTGTAATTATCTAGCTTTCAAGAAATGAAGCAGCAAGATAGCTCAGCGAACTAGGTGCCTGCTTAGGCAAGTGCAGGGACCAGGGTTCAATCCCTGGTACCTCACACCACACCTGCCTTGCCCCCCAGGTGTTCTGAGCCAGCCAGAGTCCAGGCATGGTGATGATGGCCTGTAATCCCAGTGCTGGAGAGGCTAAAAACAGGATCACTACGAGTCTGAGCTACACAGTAAGATCCTGTAAAAATAAATAAATAAATAAATTTTTCAGTGCTAAATTAAACTGTAGGATTTCAAAATAAAGACATATTTGACCACCAATTAATAGAAAAGTATTCTTTTATTGAGAAGACAAGTGCATTTACAATATCCAACTGTTAGATTATATAATCTGACTGAGACTTTTAAAAGCAGCAGTATACCAGAAATTATATGTAAGGGGGAAAAGACATTCCAAATATGTTTCTGTTACAGAAAATACATTTGAACAATGACAGAAACACTTAAGGCTCTGTAGTATTAGACCTTTTCCTCCATTTCTACAGAAAAAAAATCAAAGTCCATTTTCGCCACAAAGACAGAAGGCTGATTTTGGAAGGGGACAAACAATGAGGTTGGGCTTCTGTTAGAAGGCGAGTATGTTTAAAAATAGAGCCTCATCAAGGTTCTGAATAAGAAATATATGCTGCCAAGCAGTTCCTACTCACATCTGACATGAACTGCACACTCACTGGAAACTGAAAACTGCTCCAGCCCCTCAACCTAAGGACTCAGCGATTACAAAGCTTTTCAAGTCCAATAATGCTTTCTGAAATAAGATTGCTGAAAAAGGGACCTCTGTTACCAGTGCAAAGAACATGTTGATAGAAATTCACGTCTATAAAGGAGTTAAATGATACAACTGCTCCTTACACTAACAGAGGCTGTTCTTGCTCTAAAAAGGGAGAACTATCTAGCTACTGAAACTAATATAGGTCAAAAATATGTGTAAGAGTCCTACAGGGCACCTTATATATGTCAGTTCCCAAAGAATATATATTTGACACTCTCCAAATGAGGATATTACTTTTTTGAAGAACATCAGACACAATACTAGGTCTCTTGTTTCATGAACTATTGAGGTAGGAGTCTCCGTTTGTCCCATTTTCACAGATCACATCATAAAGTCAAATGCAAGTACCAAACACCACGGTAATCCACGAGACGGAACCATTACACTGTACACCGAGTCCTTCCTTCTGTAGACAAGCAAGATGGGGAGTTCTTTGTGCATTCCAAGACACAACTAAAAATAAAAGCACTTATCTATTTTGGAGACATGTTTGTAAATAAATATCACAGATTTCAATTATATTTTCATGTGTTAAGAAGCTATGCAATTGCTAAAAAAAAAAATAAAATAAAATAAATAGTGTAATCACTAGTCATAAAATAGCACTGTAGGTCCTGAAATGTGTTTCCACATCTACAACCAAAGCTGCAACCTCAGAAAAGGAAACATTTGCTGTTTCTTATTCTCTATCAATTGACAACAGAAGGAAGTAAAAAACACATGTTTTTAAGTACCCATAGCCAGTTTAATTATGGTGAACGTCAGCATGTGAACTCAGGTGTTTTCTCCACTAAAGCAAAGTCAAGAGCACTCACGGGATGCACACGTCACACATTCTGACTTCCGTGTTATTGAAAACATCGGAGAAGTCATGAAGTGAACAGCCCTAGAACAAGCTATAGGTTTAGTTTCTTTACCATGCTACATGTTTCACACATTACTAAAAGGTATTTTCATTTATAAAAAGGTAATAAACCTCTTGAGTTTAAAAATGAAAAATATAAAAGAAAAGCTACATCAGGAAGGAAAAATTGACTGGATATGCATCATTTATTATTTTAAATAAAAGACTGTTCAAAGGAGCTGGCTATGTAACAGGTGACTCCTGAGTCCAGAACGCTTTCTGTCCAATGCATACAGGTAATGAAACAACACAAACGGAGGTGCGGATCGGACTTCCCTGAAGGGTGAGTGTCTCTGGACTGTGTCACTGACCAAAACTGCTTCATCGGATACAAAGTAAAATCTAGTAAAGGGTGACCCAGAATATCTAGTTCAGATTTTCACTTGGCTTTAAAAATGTAAGTTTCAGAAGAACTACAGTTTTATTTTAATCACATGTTTACAAAAACAAAAAGTGATTTGTAACAACAGAACAAGTTTTCCTGTGTTAAACACATCCAAATGACATAATCCCATCCAACTCATGCATCACTTTCAGAGACACAGTGCAACTGGAAGTACTTTTGCTATCACAGTGGATATTTCTAAAAGCCAATGTGTAGGGATGCTCTTGAATCTTAAAAAAAAGTAGCAGGCACCACAGTTTTCTAAGGATGGCTGTGTTTCGCGCACTGCGGAAAGACAAGAAAAACAGCCTTCGAGAGCTTCAATCCGCACTGTAACATGGATTTCATCTCCCTCAGTTTGCTTGCTGATTTCTCAGACCACGTGATCAGAAGCCTATTTTCACTGGTTCTTTGCTAAGTGCTGTTGGTACTTTGTAGGCTATACATTGAAACTTCTGTAAAGAACATTGCAAGCTATTTCATGTAATTTAAGTTTGTGCTGAATATTCTTCAAAGGATTTTATAAATAATACAATATTTTAAATGAGTCTTCAAATTCACTTGTTGTTATACCATATTGTTGCTTTCTCCAACTTTATCTACAAACTGTAAGGAGAAGAAATACAGAAAATTAAAGACGGCTTATGGCATTATAAAACATCACATCAACACTTCAAATGCTGATTTAAAAAAAGCTATACAAGATTCGTGGAAATTTAGAGTATGACTGACAATGATTAATCCAGTGTTACTCACCACCATCTTTCTGACACAGAAATGTATATAATTTTTTTCTAAAAGTTTTATTTGCATGACATACATATGAATTTAAGGGTGCAACATGAAAAATGCAACACAATGAATAAAAAAAGTGTATAAAATGAAGTTAACACTGCTAGCTTAACAAAAACAAAAACTTGAGATGCCAGCCATTCATGCATTAATGAACCCAATAAGATATTTCCACTGACCATTACTGTGGATCTCTTCTGGGCCTATGTAGTCTTTGAACAAACAGATTTAACTCCATTAAGTTCAATAATTAACAACAGCTGTCAACTAAAAATACTTTAAGTGTGTATTCTGGACTTCAGACTGAAAGTGACAATGGCATTAAAATAGATTTAATGATGCAAACATAAATTTATAACCATTAAGTATAAATTTTAACACATATTAATGTAAATGATTATTTGCTTTAGTTACTCCACCCCAAATAAAAAGCAGTTGGGCTTTCTTCAGCATTCCAGATGGTGATGTAAAGATTAAAACAAAGAATATCATTAGTGGGGCTATTAAAAGGCTATATAACCAAAAATGGTTATAAAAGCATCAAGCTCTTTCAATTATCTAACCATTCCTTTTATTTCACTTCACATTCTTAATCATCATAACGAAGGAATAATGACAGGCAACATTATGTATTGTAGTGAGTGTCCATCTATGCAAATACTGTAGAATTCTTAAGAACACAATACTTATAAATCTTTGGAAGTTTCAATAAATTTAAGTAGCTCTAAATATAAACATTTACTACTATGAAATTATGAGATAGATGGCCAATGAAATCAGGATATACCCAATTAATAATTAGGCTTAATAGCTAATGATTTCACATTAGTGTATCATAAATAGAAATGATACACTAAAAGTTGCCCTGAAAGTATTCATGGACTCATTAGAATTTCAAGGTAAATTTCAGTGAAGAAAAAGGACAATATTCTCTCTCCAAAGATAACTTCAGATATTTCAGATGTTCTAAGGTTCCGGACACTAAAGTTAATCTGGGGACAGAAATGGCATTAGGTGAATACTGGTACTTTTTTCCCTTTGGGTAAGCCATGTTGTCCTTCTGTGAGAATTCAACTACTGCTATTAGTTTTCTCTCTAGAAACTTCTATAAAAATCTGTAGGAAGCAGAGAAACTCCTTGGACTTACATAGAATGTGTTTTTAACATATCTTAAAGCCCCTTTATCCTGCTTGCTCAGGACAGACTTTAAACTATGAAACTGATCCAAAGAAGTACACGCAACAATGATACTTCTGACTCAGGTCAGATCTAGAGCCACACAGATTCACTTCAACTCTGAATTACAGATTGTCCAAATTTATTTTTGAACTTAAGGATCTCATTTTGCGCTAAAACTTAAGGCAGCAGGTCAAAAGTCCCTGAAGTTGTCATGAGATAGGTAAGTCTTCTGTTGTAAACAAGGTGCTGTTTGCCTAATGTATCTCTCAGAGAGTTTGTTTATGTATAAGAATGCTATTAATTCTTAAAGAACTAAAAGAACAAAAAAGGCCCCTCAAATTTGAAGACTCAATCCAAACATGGACATCTAAAACTAAAAGATATTGCTCAGATAAAGAAATAGAAACAGTGACAAAATGTTCCACATCAGCGGTCATTCAAGAGATGCAAATTAGGACAAGGTTGAGATTCCATCTCACTCCAGAAAGAATCGCTCTTATCAAGAAATCCATCAATGATGAAGGCTGGTGGCAATGTGGGGATAAAGGAACCCTTCTCCACTGTTGGTGGGAGTGTAGACTGGTGCAACCACTGGAAATCAGTGTGGAGATTCCACAGAAAACTAAAACTAGAGGTTCTATTTGATGTAGCTCTTTTCTTTCTTGGTATCTTTCCAAAAGCACTAAAAGCATCATACCTTAGCAAGATAAGCACACCCAAGTTTATGGTGGCACGGTTTTTAAGAGCTAAATCTTGGACTAGTAGCCCAAATGCCTACCAACCAATGAATGGATAAAGATGTATTTTTAAAATACAATGGAATACTATTAGGCCATAAAAAAGATAAGCTCAATACATTTCTAGCTAAATGGATGCAATGCGAGACCATACTCTTAAGTGATATAAACCAGACACACATGTAAATACCACATTGTTTCTCTGGTGTGAGAAACTCAAAACGTAAATAAAGACCAAAATGTTACTGGGAAATGGGAAGAAAATGTTTAAATGGGAAGGGAAATGGGTGGAGGTAGAGGATCAGGAAGGAAGGAAAAGGAAAAACCCAAGAAGGAAAAAATGGAAACAGAGCTTTTGTAAATAAGGAGGGGCAGGAGCTGGAGGGAGGATAAGGGAATGGGGGAAAAGAATCAAGATATGTCATGTACAGATACAAATTCCTATGATGAATGTGATCATTATGTGTACCTAAAATGTACCAATAGACTTAAATAAATTTTTTAAAAAAATAGAGAACAATACTAATAATGGAAATGGCAAAACAAAATTTTAGGTTTCATGGGTTTAGCAATGATTATTTTCTGGTATTTTTGGTAGCCACAATCTGCGTGATGTAATCATTTTTATTATAATGAACAATTCATCACTTAACCATGTATCAATTACATTTCTAGAAGTACAAAGCATCAAAATGTATTCATTTTGGTAGGCTGAAAAACACGTTGCTAAATACATGATTACTTACTGATCTAATTCCAGGTAGGTTTAGGAGGGATCCAAGGACTGGCACTCTTCTAATAAAGCCAACAACCACAGGAAAGAAGCCCCTGAGAGATGGGAGAAACACCTCTTTATTAAAACAGCACTTACTGTTACTACGCTGAATCACTAATCAAGTAAAAAGGACTATTACAGTTGTGACTGTTTTAGGGACTTCAAGCTTAGAATCATAAATTACTACAAATGTAAGTATTTCTGATTACTGACAAAATGTGAGTGACGTGTAATGCGAGGCAGCCGACCATAGTCTGACTGCTGAAGAAAATTTCCAATCGCATTAGTCTGTCTTCTGTGCTGCATCAAGAGCCTCTGAACTTGGCTCCTTGCCTTCAGGGTCTCATTTTTCAAAACATACTTTATTGGGAAGTTAGAACAATATCCCTAACACATCAGTCTATCTATTTCACTCAATCTTTGTGCTCCCTACCTACTCTCCACACTGTTCAAACTTTGTAAGAAAAGAAAGTAATAAGTTGTTGAGAATGAGTCTCAGCCTCACTGTGGACTGCATCTGAGCTCACTGTCAACTGTTTCCTTCCGCACTCCCTGAGTTCCTGTCTGGCTGGACCAGTCATGCTTTTGGTAAAGTGGTGCTTTTTCCACATCGTTTCTGTTCTTTCTGTCAGTCAAATGTCCTTTCCTTTTGATGTTATGCAATGGCTCTTCTTACTTGTTCTTTGAGGTCCAGTTTATCAGTTAACGTTTCTCACCTTTGCTTGACTTTAGTAGTTCCTTCCTGAATTACGCTATTGTAATACTTTATATAAACACTCACTGCATTATGACTGTATCCTACTGGTATCTTTATAGTCTATTTCCCACAATAGAAATGAGAACTTCCCTAAAGCAGATTTGGCATTAATTACTTTTTACAGTTACTGTTTGTAATGTACCACTCGGGAGAAGGCAGCAAAGTATGTAGATTTCTTGAATAACGAAGACCAATTATATTTACAGGTACTTCTTCACATGCACATTGTTTCTTTACATTTCACTGGTATTTCAAAATATTAATTAACCAAAATCTCTCGTAGTATATTTGGTAAAGAATTTTCTATGTATATGCACTAAGCAAATTGCCATCAAATGAACTGCTATTTCAATTATGAAGTATTAGGTTTTACATACTAAAATTCTGGATCTATCAATAGTATGTATGTATGTACGACTGTACAGTTCTAACATTTTTATGAAAGCTGTAAGATTCAAGCTAGCAGAAATGAAAGAAAGGTATTATCTTATGTTGATACATTTGTTTTTATAATTCTTAGTTTATAACAAAAGAAAATAAAATGATTGTCTCACCTGAACAAGAGAAAGAATCCATAAATTTCGAAAATCATACCTATCAAAGGCCAACCAATAAGGACAACAAATACACCTCCCAGGAAAAATCCTGTAGCTTTCATTTTATGTTTTTGGAAGAAGAATCTGAATGTTCTTTCTAAACCAATTACAAAGGCCAAGCCAGCTACAAATAAAACCTAAGAGACAAAGAAAATACAACACAGAAAATGTAGTTATACACACTACATACATTTGTGAGCATCAAAGCTAAATATAATAAATACATTTGCTTGGCTTTTAATGTGGGCAACTGGCCAGAGAGAACTTCAGTGCCCTCCCAAGCAGCGGTACCACTAAGAGCAGCGGGTTAGGCATGGTACTGCTGGCGCGGTATTTCACGCCTTTCATTCTTGTTTCTTGATCAAATGGAGAAAGAGCAATACAAATGAGACATTATGATGGGGCATCCGCAGTAGATCTCCAGCTTTGGCTGGATGGGGTGGCAAGGGGTAAGCAGGGAAGCTGCCCAAGATCTCCTGGTTCTGAACTATCTACCATGGGCTATGGGAGCATCTCCAGATGGGAGAAATACTAACATAGGGAAGCTGAGAGCAGAGGCAACACTGCAAAACCCGGAGAAGATTCTATTGTTTATTAATACTCGAATATCTGGTGGCAGCAGAAATAAAAATATACAACCAGATATTAAAAAGTATATGTGTATTTTCTTGGTCAGGAAATGGTAATTATTAAAATTTTGCCTTTTCTTGTGTTTCTCTGCAAATTCTTCCCTCCCACATTAACTTTCTTTAGTGAAAAATATTTCAGACATATTTACCAAGTCCACTGGTTAAACTGTTCACATTACCATTTGTTAAAACATGTAGTTTGAATAATTTTGCTATCCCTTAGTTTTTCATATTTCCAACTAAAGCCTGAATGGTATCTATGCTTCAAAAGCTGCTTGATCACTAGCCAGTGACTTCACTGCCTTCTTACAAGTCGTCACTGACTTCTGGATCTTTTGCACAACCCCACACCTGCACTGGGCAATGCACTGTTTATTTCAAATAAACACTGTCCACTCTTTCTAGGCAAGTCAGCTAACAACATAGGGATATGGCTCCTGAAAGGTTCAAGAGATTATTAAAAGTTATTTATTTTATGTACATCAATCAAACGGGAAGACTTACTTCTAACATTTTAATAAATTTACCAAGACACACCAATGTCAAGTCATAGATTTTGAACTCCTATTTAGAAGTAGCTTTCATTTAATGTATTATATAAATCACAAAACCAAAAATTCATACTGTGCTTATGGAATTAGAAAATCTCACTGAGTGTTTCTATTTAAAGAGTAAGCTAATTGATTTTACTTGATGGAAAATAGAAAAATGTAATATATGAATAACAGTGAATTATTTCTCCCCAACTTGACAAAAGGTAACAATTCATCTGTAGTGAAAACTTCCTTATTAATTCAGTAAAAACATATATTTAAAAACTCACATTTCCAATAGCCAGTAGTGCTTTGTCAAAAAAGAGAATCATTCCAAAGAACAGGAAAAACACTCCAAATCCTGTTAATCCCATTCCAATTTCTGCAATGTAAGTTATATAGTTAAGGGTGGAGAAAAGTTGAAGTCACATTAACACCTGTTCACTACCTAAGAAGTTTTCAGCTTTTCCTTTAAGTAATATAAGGAAGCATACCCCAACGCTGCTGGTTAGTATAATGATATTCATAAAGATCTATAGTACATTAACATCAGCAAATTACCTCAGAATTTAAAAATATGAATGTGAATTCCTTACCCTTCTGTGGGAAACTGTATCATATACACTAGACTACAAAACGTAAATGAAAATTTTAAATGTTTGGATGTATTTTTTTCTCCTAAGAAACTCTGATGGCTTTAGACACAAATATACTGTAGTTTATCAACTTTCACAGTCTGTAATTATGTATATATACAGTGTCTGTAGTATTTCCTTAGCCCTCTTAAACCAATTCTAACTTAATTAGAAATGCTATGGTCACCATAATTTACTTCATTTAATTATACACTTGAGCATCAAACATTTTGAGAAGTAAGTTAGCTATTACTTTAAAAGTTAAATTTTAGAAGTTTAGGGATCACTTTTAATTTTTCAAGACAGGGTTTCAGTTGCCCAGAGCTAGCCTTATAAGAAGGTGTGCACCACCCAGCTGGCCCACTTTCAACTTCTTGATGGCTTGCCACAAATTTACCTAAACTATGAATCTGTTTACATATTTAAGCCTAGAGTCCTAAAATCACTGCTCCAAAGAATACCATTTTTATCTGATGCTAGCATTCTAGATGTTTTTCTTTTTTACTTAACACCAAAGAATTGTTGATCATCTACTGGAGGTCAGGAACTGTTCTAGGTACTGAATACACAATTGAAGTCTGCATTTACCTGCATATAAATTGATAGTTTCATTGCCTTTACAGTCTGTAGGTCTTATCTTTTTAAGTTAAAGAGTTTACTTTCTAAGGTGGTGAATTTTTTTTGTGACTGCTGCAAAGCACTATCCACTAAGCTACCTCTGTGAACACTCTGGTTTTGTTTTTAGAGACTAGCTAGCTACTAATCTTGATTTTTATCTAGAAGCACTATTTGCAACAGATAATGATTGAGAAGATGCAACCATTATTTTTGAAAACACAATATTAAATACACTACTGGTGATTTCTCACTTGTCACTTAACCTTTTTTTTCCCTCAGCTCCAGAAAGCTAAAATCCAGATCAGATACTTAAAAACCGAAATATTTAAATAGAAATGTTGATGATTTGAAAATTCCTATTAACTTTACTTTGTTTCTACCTCTATCATCTCCTCAATTTCCTGATGATTACTATCTTCAATTCTAGCCATGCTTTGCTCCTAAACGAACTGAGGTATCTGTAACCAGATTGAAAGTTTTTCCAGACACTAATTTCAGTGAAAATTCGAGCTAATACTTTCATGCTTAAAAACCTTAAAGAATTTATCAAAATAAGGACTTAGATGTTAGATACAATTTCCTAGAAGAAAATACAGATACAAGAGCAAGTAAGTAAAATTCTATTAAATACACAGTAGTTCGGGTTTAATCATTACATTTGATTTACCTGAACAATAATTTTTATTTTTTCACAAATAATCTTACTGATTACACAAACATTTTGAGATGTCTGATCATCAAAAAGGAAATTATACAGAAGCACTTTCTACATACTGAGAAGAGACCATGAGTTAGGTATTATTAAGTGTTTAACAGAATTTATATAATTTAATCCTAACACTACTGGAATGTAGGTACAATCACATCAGCTTACAGATGGAAGAAACCAAAATTGAGATAATTAACTTAAAGACACCCAAAGTCACATTTCAGGTTTAGTACTTGAACCAGGTCTATTTGATCTCAAAGTTCACGTACTTAACTATCATAAAATACTTTTTCCCGTAAGACTTTTCCAGGTTGTGTTCAGTTGTGTAACTCAAGGGCATTGGTATGCACTGAACTTCTGAGGAAAGCGCAGGTAGGTGATTGAAATTTCAAACTGATATATTACCTAAATCACTAGGTAAGTACCAGAACTATTACAAATGGACTGCACTGAAAAAGGACAGCGTCTGAGCATGGCCTGTCACTTACTCAAGTGTTAAAAAGGATCTTGCAACTCCTTTAACAGAATAGCGCAGTTAAAAAAAAAATAGGAATAGTTCCATGTTTCCTATGGGCAAATGAGGACCAGAGAGATGAAGGAGTTTGCCCTGGACCACACAACCAGCAGAGACGCGTGTGGGGGTGGCAGCGATACTGAGTCAGACTAGAATTTAGATGCAGTCTTCTCACTCTACAGTCAGTGATCCTACCACTACAACATGGAAACCAAACACATTCCACTACTCCATCTAGTGTAAATCAGCAGGGGACAGCGAGCTGCCTGTACAGCCTGCATCAGCTTGATGTTGTCAACTCTCCCCTGATCTAAATGAGTCAGGATTCAAAGTAGCCTCATTACACCCTTCTCTTATCTCCAGAATTTCCTTCTCCCCTATCTGGACTCTTACAGTATCGTAACTTCACAGTTCCTGCCTATAAGTTTTTAAAAGACAAATTCATAAACGTAATCTAGTGGGGAAAAAAAGCTACCTAATATAGAAGCCTATTGTGGCAAATTTTATGAGACATGCATAATCCAATCATTGTTAGCATCTTGTTCTCTTGTTCAGAACTGATTAAGCGCATTATTGTCTCTCCTACCATGCCTTTGAAAAACAACTTAACTGACTATCAGCTGTACTGAATAACTCAACTGAATGTCATGGTTGATTTTTATCCTGTGTGACAAAAAGAAGTGATAACTGAAAGTGACAACTCAGATGCAAATAAGAACATCCCCCATCCCACTCCCTTCAAGAAACCTTGGTGTTTCCTTTTCCTTTTCTTTTGTGGAGTGGAGAAGAATCCAATTACAGAATCCCTTAGAACAATTAGGAGCTTCCATTTATTCTATTCTGACTGGGGCTTGGTCACTCTCTTCTAGAACTGAAATCCCAGAATAACCTTGGCAAATCACTTGAAAGATGGCCTGTCCCTTTCAATTAAACAGACATATAAGCACAATGTGAAATTCAAAATCTTTTGTCTGACTAATCCTTCTGTTTCAATGCACTGTCTCCCCTAAAACATTTAGTAAATGAAGAGCAAATAGTAAAATTTCATCTCCCTTACAAATTTAATAAAGCAAAAAGGCTTCCTATTCTGCCCATAGTCCAACCTACCTGTTTATTTTGGAAGGATGTAAATGAGGCACTCATCCTTAAGCCTTCAATAAAAGAGAATCTCTAGGTACAGGACAACTTACATTTTCATATATAATATTATAGACTTAGATCACTCTAAGACCTCAAAGTTTCTATCAATGCTTCTTACATGCTAGTTTTTGTGCAAGTTCTGTGTTTTCCTTCTCTCTCTTCCTGCTTCTGCCTGCGGTCTTGGAGACTGAATTAAAAGCTGTAGCAATGAGCTACATCTCCAGTCTTTACCTATTTATTTATTTATTGTCATAGGGTCTCACTGAATTGTCCAGGCTGCACACAAAGTTGCAGCCCGCCAGCCTCAGCCTCCTCCAGAATTACAGGAATGTGTTACTATGCCCCACTTGATTTTTTTTTTTTTTTTTAAAACAAGCATGCACTGAATTTCTTTTGTGCCTCATTTACCTAAAAAAAAAAGGGGGGGGGTTGTTTACAAGACACATTTAAGAAATTACCTTTGTACAATTGTTAGTAATTGCAGATTTAAAAAAGGAAAAGAAGATGGTATTTATATTTTATTTTCCTGGATCAGAATGGAATGCGTCTAAAGAAAGAAAATGTACCAAAATGGACAATCTTACTGGGCCAGAGCTGGTAGTCCAAGATCCGGACCCAGTTCAACCTCAGGAAGGAAGGGAGCTTGATTAGGGTGGCCGTGTACGGCAGACTTAGAAACTTGAGTTCAAGTCCGACATGATTTGAATCTAAACCTCACAACCACTTTAAAACAAAGTATTTCAGGAGAAATTCTATTTTCGCGTCCATGAAGCGTTTAATTTATAAAATTCTGATAATCTGGATTAGTTCACTGCAGGAAGAAACAAAAGGTATGGCAGACAAAGCAAAGTGAGACAAAAATTATCACTACCATCAAAACACAAGGAAGCAGTGAGTCCGGGCAGATATATAAACACACGAAGAATTGAATTAAGATCGACAAGAAGGGGTCGAAAAGTGAAGAAGTTATATTGAAAGACAAGGACGGCGATCGTAGCGCTAACCCTAGAGACGAGAAAGGCCTGGAGAGCTCTGTGCCAGGCAGAAAAGAGATGCTAAGATAATGCAACAATCTACAACACGTAGAAAGGAAATCCCCTAACAAACCCAAAGTGGCTTTTTGCTACTGTTGGAACTTTCTCCGGGCAGTAAAGTGAAGTGCAGGCAAAGAATTTTTGGAAAGTTGCCTCCAGGCATAGCAGAAGTCAAATACCGGCGTTGCCACCAGACGCCCAACTCCAACTCCAGCTGCCCGGCCCGGGCGTCCCCCACCCCCAGCCCGACTCTCCGGGCCAGGAGACCCCGCGAGTCCAGCCCGGGCCCCCCACGCGGCTCCCCGCTCCCGGCAGCCTCCGCTCCGTCCCGCAGGCCGCCGCCCCCAGCGCGGCGCAGGTTCATTCATTGACCCAGGCGGAGGGACCGGCGGTGAGAGCCAGCCCAGGCGCGGGGCGTGCGGGGCTCTAGGCCAGGAAGACCGCGAGAAGAGCTTACTCTGAGTATCTGTTAAGGAGATCATGGCTGCAGCGGCGAGGCCAGCGGCCGCAGCACCTTGGAACGCCCAGGGTGGGAAGCTGAGCCGAAAGAAACGAAGCCGGGAAGCAGCCCAGGAGAGAGCCGCCACGTCTTCCGGAAACACGCAGTCGCTCCCGCCCCCGATTCAAGCCGGCTTTCGATTGGCTAAACCCGCTCCTTCTCGCAACCAATAACATGTGCTGTTGTTCCGTGACGCGCCCGCTGGCCACACCCTCTGGCCAATGAGAGAAGGCAGTTGTTTGCGATTCGCTGAATGACGACCCGGAAGGGTGGACGCTCGGGGCAGGGTGGCGGGAAGGTTTCATCAGAGAGCGGCTGAGCTAGGTGCGTAGCGGTCCGGCAGCCCCGAGCGCCTCGGGGTTGGAGACCCGGGCGTCAGAGGCGACGCCTTTCACGCGGTCGATAGACCCTGCGGGGTGACTCGGGGTGCAGCGCTGAGGAGACGGTTGCATGGCGCCCCTTCCTCCGTCTTTCCCCCTGGTGCCAGCGGGCGAGGCCGGTGTACCCCGCAGCGCTTCCTTCCCCCGCACTTGGGCAGCGGAGAAGTCGGCGCTTTAGCTTTTGCCCAGCCCTGGTGGAACTCGGGCCTGGCGGGGGGCTTTCGCTTGCCGACCAGTTTCTGTCTTTTTTTTCCAGACTTTTCAGCTCATGAGGCGTAGCCATCCAAGTGTGGTTAGTAACAGGCGGAGTTCATTGGGACACACCCCTGGGGGGGTGCCTCTTCCGTTCCCTGCTTCTCAGTAGCGTAAGGAAGGGTATTATTAAGCATGTTAGGCAGATCCTTGGCTCAAGTGCAGGATGCAAGGATTGCAGAGATGCGGGTCTGGTTTAGCCTGTTGTACCACGGTTTATTTCCTTCAATACTGATGACAGCTGTCACTGCACACATTTTTTTTAACCCCTTCGTGGGTACCGTGTGCATACTTTTGACTCTAGCTTTTTTTTTTCTAGTTCTACTAGTTTTCTAGTATACTTTGAGCTATCTTATGCTATTCAGTTAAACAATGTGGGAAAGAGCAGTGTTTTAACAGCGAAGGAACCACTGAAAACAATAGGGAAAGATTGATATAGATCAATTTCATAAGGGTGGATATAGCCCTGCTTCATTAAGTCACCCAGTACTTGCTCTGCTGGATGATTTTACAGTCCATAGAAGGAATATTATAATTCTAGGGTGAAGTTCTTGTTTATTCACTTTTAGGAATGTGAACGTTGTGTTACCATTTAGGAAGAGATGCACCAATCGTTCCAGCCCGGTGGTTGGCTTCAGAATTCCGTGTTGGAGGGGCGTGACAGGAAAGAGTCTGAGTAACAGCAGGACAGTGATGAAGTTACTTTGGAGAGTACTCTTAGTTTTAAATAATATTGATTATCTTGCCAAAATCCAGAAAGGTTTCCAGCTGGGAAGAATCATCTTTTAAAAAGTTAATTGCAACATACACTTTTCTTTCTTTCTTTCTTTCTTTCTTTCTTTCTTTCTTTCTTTCTTTCTTTCTTTCTTTCTGTCCTTCCGTCCTTCCGTCCTTTCTTCCGTCCTTTTTTCCTTTTTTCTTTCTGCTTAGTAGTGGCAGACTATCTTAATAGTTGGTTGAGCGTTGCCAGTGTCCTCTTTGGTTGTTGCTTTTGGGTTAAATGCAAGATGCTAAGCATGTTAGGTAGATTCTTTGCTCCTGATCTGAGCCATTAGTCCAAATAAAAACTTGTTGCCATATCTGTTCTTTCATTTTTAGAAAGAAATTTGGATCTCCAGTTTTCAGAAATGACATCCATTTCAGGTTAGTGGACATGATTGCTGTTTATAGTTCCGTCTGTTGTACTTTTTTTTTTTTTTTTTTTTTTTTAATGTATTTGCTACAGGATCTCACTATGTAGCTTGGACTCGTAGTGAACCTCCTGTTTCAGCCTCTCCAGCGCTGGGATTATAGGCATGCGCCACCAAACTGGGTCCTCAGCATGGCTGAGGGCGGGGCCAGCCTTGCATGTGGTGCAAGGGATTGAATTCCAGTCTCTACCTACACTTGCCTAAGCAAGTGCTGGGCTGCTGAACTATCTCACCAGCCCCTCTGTTCTATTTTGAATTATATGTTTTTTGGGTTATTATTTTTTAAAATTCTGATTATAGAAATGATATTTTCAGGTTTTGGTTATAGTAAAATATGTACAACAAAATTAACCAGTTATTTAAGTGAAAAGGCCCTAGACAATAAGGACATTCATCCTGTTGTATAACTGTAACTACTCTCCATCTCTAGAAGTTTTTCCTCACCCCATACTGAAATTCTGAATCTATTGAAATTATTCATTACTTCTTTTCTCCCAGCCACTGAAAGCTACTGTTTCTTTTGCCTCTGTGCACTGTACTCTTAGGTACCTTGTCCAGAAGGAATCATGTGTTTGTCCTTTTGTGTCTGGCCTTTTTCATGTGGCACAGTGTCTTGAGGATTTATCCATTTTGTCAAATGCATCAGAATTTAAAAGTTAACAATGTTCTGCAGCTTGTGTGTACATTTCGCGCTTCCATTCTGCTGATGAAATTTTTTTTTTCTCACCTTTTGGCTATTATGAGTGATACCGCAGTGTGCATTGGTGTGAAAACATCAGTTGAAGTCTGTCCTTTTAATTCCTTTGGATTCCCCCCCCTTTGGATTTTTAACTAGAATTAGGATTGCAGCATCATCTGGTACTCCTCCTGTTCCTCTGAGGAACTGCCAGGTTGCCGTACAGTGGCTGCATCATTAGCAATGCACCAAGTTCCCAGAAGATGCTTTTTTTTATTTTTTTATTTTTGTCAGAACCAGGGATAGAACTCAGGCCCTTGAGCTTGCCAGGGAAGCGCTTATTCCACTGAGCCATCTCCCCAGCCCCAACCCAGAATATGCTTTTGAGAGACTTATAGGAACGTAAAGAAATATGAAGAATAAAATATAAAGCTGCTTGTACTGCTGCTCCAATTAACATTATTTTTCAACAAATTTGTAAAAATTGTGCATATTATGTGATCTTTAAAATAATGTAAAACTTGAACAGATACACTGTTAAATAAATTGTATGCTATTGATTTATTCTGTTTTTAACCTGTGTACTGTTTTGCTGTTTTGAAATGACATTATTTACTTAAACTTTTAGCCTGTGTCCATTTTTAAAATGTAAATGATGTTGTATTGAACATATTGAAATTTAAGTTTTTGTGTGCTTCTGTGAGTACACGGAGTCATCAAAATATATGGTGAATGTTTAGCAGTTATAGTAAAAAAAATTCATTGTTATTAATCTCTCTCAAAATACCCCCCTTCTCCAAACATTAGTGTCCTATTTCTTCTTCTTTCTCCTTTCTCCTTTCTCCTTTCTCCTTTTTTCTTGTTCTTTTTGGTTTTAGGACCTTGTGCTTGACCGGCAGGTGCTATGCCACTCAGCTATATCCCTGACTCTTATTATTTATTTATTTACTTAATGTATCTGCTACAGGGTGTACAGGTTCTCACTGTGTAGCTCAGCCTCCTAGTGATCCTCCCGTTTACAGCCTCCCAAGTGCTGGGATTAGAGACCCACGCCACCCCGCCCAGTCTCAATCAGTCTCAGCATACCCTGGGGGTGGGGCCGCACTGTGCTCTGCCAAAGCAGGTGCTTTGGTCCACTGAGTTACCTGACCTGCCCTCTTATCATTTCTTGAAGCAATTCTGACAGTCTTTTGTTTTTTTTGTTTAGTATCTATAAGATACGATATAAAAAAAATACGGTAGATGCTACAGCTGAGTGCCACCCAATAGAAAAATGGGTTTGTGAAAGTTATGCTGTGTCTTCATCCACCTTATTCAGCAGATCTGACATCCTGTGACTTCTGGCTCTTTCCTAAAAAGACCAGGAAAAGTAAATGTTTTGAAGTGATTCAATTCATCAAGGCAGCCCAGGAGGGCAACTAAAAACAGGCATTTACTACCACTTCCAGAACTGCTGGAAAAAGTGGCAAGAATGATGGGAAAGTGTGTTTAATCCAGGGAGTATTTTGAGGGGCATTCCTGACAGTGTAATTACTGTAATAAATTTAAAAAAATTAAACAGTGGTTGTATTTTTCAGTCACTTTGTGTATTTTCATAAGGTAAATTCCTGGGAATGAAGTTATTTGAAATCTTTTTTTTTTTTAAGTTTATATATAAAAGAAAAACATGCATTATTTTATTTCTCATGCAAGTACTCTTTAGTATTTTGGTATATTTCTGTCTGTTTGTTTCTGTAAAGTTCATGAGATTGTAACATACTTGCAGAAAAAACATCTGGCTACCTATTAGGTTATCAGATTGTTAGCAGGGTAAGGAACTAACACTATCATAAATTTTCACACTGTGGTGTGTTATAATGTATGTAATCATTGCTGTATACTCCTACCAGTAGGGTAACAAGATAGGTTTCTCTTTAGATTTAAGAAGAAAATGCTGCTCTTAAATGTGGAACACCATCCATCATGAACAAGATATACAACTTTGCTATTTATTTAAATATAAAGATGACTACATAATGACAAGATTTTAGCTTTATTTTGTGATTCATTGTCACAGGCTGAAGGTTAGTAATAAATGATAACAAATTATGTTAAGTGTTGACACGAGTAACCTTTTTATCATGGCAGAAATGAGATTTTTTTAAGAGGTATTGCTGAACACAGACCCTGTTCAATATGGCCATTTAAAAATTTCATGTTATTTTAGTAAAGAAATCCTTAAGCTTTGTCAATGAGATTTGATTTAAAAATAACCCACTAATTACATAGATGTATTTTGAGAAGTTAATGGTTATCTCTTCCATTGTTTTACCCACTTGTTGAACTCTACTTGAAATGCCTCTTTGAAATTTACTTTGCTTTGCTGCTTTGGATTTACTAGCTTCCCATGAGAGAAAATCACATTCATTGTTTTGTTTGTTTTTTAATGTGTTTGGTTGTTGTAGGGTCTCACTACACAGCTCTGACTCCTGTGTAGTGATCCTCCTGCTTTCAGCCTCCCCAGTGCTGGGATCATAGGCGTGCATCACCATATCCAAACTTTGGCAGGCTCAGCCCACTCTGGGGGCAGGGCTGGTGCAGCATGTGTTGCCGGGGATTGAACCCTGGTTCCTGTGCTTGCCTAAGCTTGCGTAAGCAGGCACTTTAGTCCTCTGAGCTATCTTGCCAGCCCCCATTGTTAATTTCAGTTTGATAGAAAAGTACTGTTTGTAAAGAATGAGATGACCCATGCATCTGCTGTAAGCTTAGAACACTGTATTTGGTACAAGGTCTCACTATGCAGCTCAGACTTGTAGTGATCCTCCTGTGTCAGTGCTGGGATTCCAGGCATGCACCACCACATCCAGTCTCAGTGGCTGGCTCAGCTTACTGGGGTGGGGGGTGGGGCTGCAGCAGGAATCGAATCCATTCCCTGTGCTTAGTCCACTGAGCTATCTCGCCAGCCCTGCTTATTTTATTTTATTTTATTTTGCAGAGGGTTGCACTATGCAGTTCAGGCTGGCCTTGAACTCACACCAATCCTTCTGCCTCAGCCTCCCAAATGCTGAGATTATAAATACGTGCTACCATATCCAGGTAGTGAGCTTAAGAGAGAGTCATAGTTACAGAAGACTGCCAAAACTGACCCTTAGACAAAATTCTAATGGACTAAAATTATAAGAAAGTATAACTGGCTTCTTACAGTTGATAAGTATGGTTGGTAAGGAGTACAGTTGGTAAGAAGAAGCCAATGAGGTCACCAGTTTTTATCCTACGCTAAGTTTCTTAATACAGGAACTATGTATGTTACTTCCCTGTTGCCTTCCAAATCTCTGAGAGTTCTTTTGTGCAACCCTAATCTAGAACTGTGCAGCAACAACCATCCTAGGAAACACAGTTCTAGCAAGCCAAGTTATGACAACACCAACCCGCCAGGCTCTACCTTGTGTGTTCTTGGCACCTGCACATTCCTGTTATCATATTTAACTTCCAAACAAAGGCAATGGCAAAAATCACATTTCTGGTTATATGCACCTAGCCCTTGTACAACCAAGTGCGTATTCATTCTCTCCCCAAAAGAGAGATAAAAAAAATCTTTTTTTTTTTTTTTTTTTTTTTTTTGGTACAGGGTCTCGCTATGCAGCTCGGACTTGTAGTGATACTGCAGTTTTCAGCCTCCCTAGCGCTGGGGTTACAGGCGTGCACCATCACACCAGTACTGGGTCGCTGACTCAGCGCACCTGGGGGCGGAGCCAGCATGGCATGTGGTACTAGGGATCAAACCCTGGTCCCTGCAACTAAGAAGTGCTGAGTCCACTTAGCTGTCTCGCCAACCCTCTTTATTAACCTTTGATTGATGCTTATTCCAGTGTTTGTGAAATCATATTTTTTCTTGATAATCTTAAAATTTACATCTTGACATACGAGGTTAACTACTTTTTTTTTGTATTTTTTTTAGGCAAGGGTCTACAGGATATTCAGGGTCTTACTACTAGATCAGACTCTTAGTGATTCTCCTGTTTACAGCCTCCCAAGAGCTGGGATTATAGGCGCACGCCACCACGCCCAGTCTCAATTGCAGTCTCAGCATGTCCTGGGGTGGGTCCAGCATGGAAGGCCTGGGGATTGAATCCCTGACCCCTGCGCCTGCTTGCAGGTGCTTTAATCCACTGAGCTATTTGGCTGGACTGAGGTTAACTACTAATACTAGATTTTATGTTAGATATTTGAGCAGGAGGAAAAGGGCCAAACAAAAAACAATCTCACAAATGTGGTATATATGCAGATAACAAAATAAGAAAGAAAAACTTATGATTGTTCTTATGTCTATACTGCCATATGGTCATAGTTTTTATTTTATAACTACTTCAGCTACCTATTCCATACCTTTTTCCCTCTGCAAGTACCTCAGCTGTTTATGGGTTCCTGCTGGGTAAAGATTTACTGTAGCTTTGTGCTTATATTTTGTTATTATAATTTTCTGTGTACTTTAATTACAGGACATAGAAATGGTAAGAGGTACCCTAGAGGATCCCTTACGTTTCAGAAGAAGTCCTTCTTACCTCTGTAGTGTCATAGCCGTCCTGTTTCCCTGTAACACGCAGGGTCACTGACCCCAGCCAGCACAGTGATCTTTATTGATTTCCTGAGCTGAGGAACCCAAAGTGTCCAGGTGCAGTCAGCTTCCAGTTTGGTAGAACCGTTGCCTTTTGCTCTGGTAGAAGCATTTCTTCCTTGATCACTAGACTAGCAGGGTCCAAAATTTGAGTGATGAGCAGCAAAAATTTAACTAATGTATCAGGGCAGTAATAAGAGGAGGCACCCCACTTCCACCCTGGCATTCCAGGCCTGTGAATGTTTTAGTTGTTCATTGTTGGATAGTGCCAGCACATCCTTCAAATCCTCTGTGCATCAGACCTGCACTTTTTTCCTTTCTTGGTCCAGTAACAAGGAGGTAGTTACAGAAGACCCACAAAACTGACAAGGAGGTGGCACAATAGCAGTCCATAAACACTGGAACCACTTGCTTGTCCCTGCCTTTTTCTGGAACCCGATGGAACTCACTTTTGCGTATGCCACTTCCACTATGATGGCGGCAGTCTGCCTCATAAATGAGTCGAACCAATAATATTTTCTTCGCAATAGGCAACACAAGTCACATGGTAACTTAGTCTTTGGTGAGACTTGGGAGCAAGTCATTTGTTTCTAAAAGGAGGGTAGTTGTTGTCTACAGGAGGTAGCATAGCTTTGTCCCAAATTCTTACTGCATTGTGACTCACCTGTATGGTGGAGGTGCTACACAACATCCCTACCCATGACAGACTTAAAGCACCGATGGGGCTGTCGGACATCTGGTCTGTGGAAGAGAGGACTTTGTAGCAGCCGTGCCTCTGTTTCAGGGCCCTACTCAAAATGGGCAGCCTCTTGAGTAACTTGGCAAATGAACTATCTGTTGCTGCTCGAATCCAAATAATCTCACTGGGCTTTGCATTCCACAGATGCGGCTTCAGCGTGCCCCACACCCTGTGACTCCTAGAAATTTCACCAGAGTAGCAAGTCTCTGAGTTTTTATGGAACTTACCTTCCACCTCTGACATGTTTATGTCATCACTGATTTGTATAGAGTAGCTACCTCTGTTGCCTTTTGCTCAGCAGGTTAGGTAAGCCTGATGTCATCAGTGTAATGAGCCAGGGGTATGTCTGCTGGGATGAAGAGACAGTCAGGATCCCTGCAGAGTAGCATGTGCCTGAGGTGTCCATGTAGCTCTGGCATGGGATGGGGAATGTTTATTGCTGGCCCTGCAAACTTCCTCTGGTGGCCTTTATATCAGTTGTAAAGGTATAGAGAATAAAGGGTTCAGTCGATGAATAGCAGTGACACGTAAGGGATATATTGTGTTCATAAATGGAAACCCTCAGGAAACAGCAGTTGATTTAGGAACTACAACCTTATTGATTTTTCCAAACTCATTGTCAGCCTCTAGGAGCTGTTTGTCTTCTGCACAGGTGACGCAAGTTGAGTGGAGATGTGTTAAGAATCATTGGCTCAATTTCTTTCTCAAGTTTTTGATGTGAACAACAAGTCTCTGAACCCTACAGAAGGGCCGTAATGCTTTCGTATAACATGTTGGTAGACAAAGGCAGTTTTACCAGCTTCCACTGGACCTTTCCTACCCATAGTAATTCTCTTCTATGGGCCAGGATATCAGTGTATGTATTCTACCACTTTGTGTATTTTCTAATTTTGCATGGTGGAACTGGGAAAATAATCACACAGTGAGATAGTTGACCCACTGAGCCCACTGCATGACAGATCTGAACCAAAATTAGAGCTTTATATAAAGACCAATCCATATTCTGACTGGTGGGTCACAATGACATTTTGGTTCTTCTTGAATTAACATCAATGCCAATACTAATCTTCAGTAACTTCAGAAAAGTTTTTTTTTTTCTTTTTCTTAAAGCACAATTACCCTGACATATTTCTCAGTAGAAGACTAATCAGAAGATTTAAATTTTTAGCTATAGATGAGGTTTATTTTTCGGTTCTGATGCCATGGATTGAACCCAGGGCTTCCAGCTTACTAGGCAAGCATTCTACTGCTGAGCTAAATCCCCATTCCCAAATTTTTAGCTGTATGGTCTTTTCAAGGGCCCCAGCCTCAACATTATTCATGTATTTTTGGTTCTCTAAATTTATTCAACTTTGAAAGTTGTTTGAAGGACTGTGAAGGACTGTGATCTGTGCTGTAGGGATCCATTTGTCTCTCAGTGTACCCTGGGGAGAAACAGCAGGAATCAGGAAAAGATAGACAAGAAGACAAGAGCAAACAACCTCCAGAACAATAGTAGGGACCTTTATTTAAACCTTTGCAAAGTTAGTATCACGTGACACAAGGTTGCCTAGTGACTAATAGCTGACATTAACTAGACAGGATGCTTTTCTCAGGACTGAGGTAGCTTGACTGCTTCAGGCACTGAGGCCTGGTCCTGTCTCACACATGAGGGCAATTTCCAGCTTTAGTGGCTCCCAACACTGTCACCAGGATTTAAACGAGACTATTTTCTAGAATCAGATCCATCCCTAGCAATCCCTCATAGCACAGTAAGGGCCATTATAGGAGTTTCAGGCCAGAGGACATTCTTCCAGATGTGGGAGTGAGGTGAAGAGAGACTTGGGAGAAATTTAGTGGTTCAAGTCTCCTGCTTCTTTGGAGTCTGCTCTTAATTTTCAGTTATGTTCCTTCTCAATCCCCTTGATGTAACTTGAAATTTCTTGGGAGGTTGGGAATTCAGTTTGTATTCAGCTACCTGCAGGATTTAGATTTCAGATTTCTCAGATATCTTGCCCCTTTAGTTTTAGCCAATAAAAGTTTCTTTTAGGACAATCATAGAAACTTTAAGGTCCCTTAATACAGATTGTGCATTTTTGCCTCCAAATTCTCTGCATTCATAGAAGCAACCAGCCAGTTCCATAATTCTCACTAAAATGTTCTTTAGCAGCAAACATTTGATCATCTAGAGCCTTGCCTTCCTGAATAACTTAATTTGCTGATGTCTATAGATTGTTGAGATACCTTTTCCTACTACATGTCATATAACAGCTATGTCTCCCTTACCTGTGGAAGAAGGGTCTTCAATGCTCTTAAATAAGATCAGAGAGTCAATTTGAAGTGGCTCAGCAGTAGTTCAGAGACCCCGTTAAATTCTGTTGTAAGGATCAGAATTCTGTGCTACTTTGGATTTACGCTCATAAGATGGTTCATTAGGAATATTGTAAGAGGCTTATTCTAGGAATTAGTCCTGATATGATCATGGAGCTGGCTAGGCAGCTGTCTCTGGTCAGTAGTGAGCAAGACCGATGTAAAGTATGGTAGCGTGAACATGAGCTTCCCTGTGGGACGAGTTGGAGCCTGCAAGGATGAGCTGGATCAAATGCAGACAACACGGAGCCCGTTGGTTTTGCCCTGGGCCCTGGGTCAGTGTGTTGTCCTTTCCGCAGGGCTCTAATTTCTAGGATGGCGGGGTCCTGTTGAAGAGCTGGAACCTCTGATGCAGAAAATTGCTAATAAAACTAACCAAGAAACTGGGCTAACTTGGTGCCCCAAGGAGATTTAGGAGAGCTGGAGGAACTGGCTTCTGCCCCATTCCAGCAAGGCGAATCAGCAGATTTCTGACAGTGAGTGCAAGCTGCAATAGTATCTGCCCATGGGCCACTTGTCCCAATGGAAATGTGGCTGCTGCCTCAGTTCCACCTTCTCCATCATTCAGGGTTCCCTTGTGGCCACGCCCAGCCCAGAATCATGCAGGGCAGTGAATTGGGACGGTTGATATAACACAAAGCCACCACTGTGTCCAATTTTAAGTCAGCTATAAGAGTTCATCTTATGAAGTGGCATCATGACTAATTAGTGCAGGTAACTGAATTAGAAAGCACCAGCCTATAATTTTTCTAGCTTCCATTGTCAAAAAGAATATCATCTTTAATACCTGTGTTGATTAGGTTCATACATTGAGGCTTCTTTTAAAGTATATCTGAAGTCGCAATACCAATTCCAGTAGCACAATTTTGGTTTGTTTGTTCCATCATCTCGTTTAGAATTAGCAGCTCCTTACTTTGACACTATAAGGGACACAATGTAAATGTGTTCATGAAATGGTATCTTAGTAGTTAGGGGGCTAATTTCATTTTGCTTCAGAGTCCAGTCACCTTCTTTAGATGATTGAGGAGATTATTTCACCACTTCACTGTGACATAATAAAATAGTCACTAGGATTTATTAATTTTTAACCATATACATTGTCAGAAATTTTGGAGTGCTATCGCACTTCATTCATTCTAATATTGTCAAAGTTAGGTAATGTCTACATTTTATAAGAAAGCATACTGAGATGCAGGTCACTATCTTGCCTGAGGTACTAAGCAGGTAAAAGGAGAACTGAGATTGGACCCCAGCCTGTGTCCCTCCAAAATCAGTGATCTTTACCACTTTGCTAAACTACTATGTTTCTATGCAAGGAACGTCAAGAATCAGTAGGAAACTCCAACTAGTGTTTAACCCTGGGCACTCATGCTTCTCCTCCACGCCCATAGCTCTAACAGAGGAACTGGATTCTGTGACCAGTGAACTGCATGCAGTCGACATTCAGATCCAAGAGCTTGTGGAAAGGCAGCAGGAGCTTCTTCAGAAAAAATCAGCTTTAACAAAGAAAATAAAGCAGTGTCTTGACAATTCAGATGCTGGGGCCAGCAAAGAGTGTGATTCTTCACCAGCTGCTTGGAATAAAGAAGGTTTGCTTTTTCTTTTTTGCTAGTTTTGCTTATTCTCTCTTTTAGAAAACTAGAATTTAGATCATTCTGCATGAGTCAGTGTTTTCTAGTAGGCTTAGAGCTGAAACTGTCATTCCTTCTTTAGAGTGGGAAGCTTGGCGACGGCCCATTCTTAACCCACATTCTGTAATCTTTAATTGAGCATTTATTATTTGGGCTTTTTTTTTCTCCCCAAAAGTGGTTTTAACAACATTGATCAGTGCTTGCAAAAGATTATTTCCTTCAGCTAAATTTGCTAAGGTTTAACAACAACAAAAACCCAACCCCACATTATTTATACTCCTTACCAAAGTCTTGCTTATTTTCCTGCCATAGTGAACAAACCATTCTTGATTAATTCAAAATCTTTAATGAAGTATTATATTTATCATTTATTATAACAATACTGTAACAGTGGAAGGTTTTTTTTGGGGGGGGTTCTTTCCCAGTGATTGATGTTTAAACAGACATCGTTTACTCCAAAAATTCCCGATATTAGTTAAGATATTTCAGTTTTTTATGCTAGAAATTTCCTAATCAACATTCAGACTGTTCCTCAAATACCCAGCTGAACATCTTCTTCTTCTGTGTGGGCTAATTCTCACCTAGCAACTGTTTCCTTTTTTATGTACTATTTCTTAATATATCATTTAATGTGCTTTTGGTGTACTTTGTAAGCTGCACTAACCTCAAAATGATTATGACCAAAATTTAATGTAAGGGTTTGCAAATAACTAAACATCAAAAGTATGTGTGTCTGAGTTTTGTATGCTTTAATAAAGGCAGTCAATTCTATTTGTATATCATTTGTATTCATAACAGTTTCAATATTCTTAGCTTGTGCTTTCTCCCTAGATTTTCCATGGTCTGATAAAATTAAGGATGTTCTGCAAAATGTCTTCAAACTGCAGGAGTTCAGGCCACTTCAACTTGAAACTATTAACGTAACAATGGCTAGAGAGGAGATATTTCTGGTTATGCCTACAGGAGGGGGGAAGAGCTTATGTTACCAGTTACCAGCATTATGTTCAGATGGTATGTATTAATAAGAGGGAATTTTAAGTTGAAATGATTTTTCTAATATTTTAAAATCCTTTTTTAAATGAATTCCCAATTTAACATGTGAAAATCAAGTGTATTTTTATTTTATTTGTCTCTATAATAGAGATTTCATACTGAAATAGGTTGCACTGGAGAAAGAATTTATTTAGAAATGGTGGTAGAAAGAAGATGATGAATTTGGTTTGGAACATACTAAATGTTTGATGCCTCTAGGACATCCAGCCAGAGCTGCCCTTGGAGAATGCTTGAAGAATGTTCAGTCTGAAGCTTGGGTGTGAGAGGTCTAAGATGAGTTGGAGGCTGTTAGTGTGAGGGTAGCAGTAAAGCCATGGCATTGAGTTACTTCTTTTTTCTTTTCTTTTTTTTTTTTTTAATTTAGGGCAGGGTCTACAGGGTCTCACTAGATCAGACTTGTAGTGATCTGCCTGTGTTTAGCTTCCCAAGAGCTGGGATTATAGGCATGCGCCACCACGCCCAGTCGCAATCTGTCTAGCAAGCCTGAGGGCAGGGTCAGACACTTTGCTTTGTCAAAGTGGGTGCTTTAGTCAGCTGAGCTATCTGGCCAGCCCTACATTTTTTTTTTTTTTTTTTATGTTAACCAAATAGCAGTGTTTTGGAAGTAAGAGTTGAAAACGTGGAGCTGTTCAGTGTGGGGCACTCTTTGAAAAAGAATAAGAAAGAAGGGAAAGTATTGTGAATTAGGTGCTTTTTGAGGTCTTATCGCAAAGTGCCTCAGACTGGCTAACAAGCAGCAGAAATTTAGTGCTCACAGTTTTGACATCTCAAAGTCAAAGATCAGGGACCAGATTTGGTGTCACTATGATAAGAGCCTCTTGGAGATGACATCTTAGTGCTGCACCTTCACAGAAAGGGCTTCCCTTCTAAAGGGCTTGACCTCATGACTTAATCATGTCCCAAAGCCCTTGCCTTTTAATACCATCCCATGTGGTATTTGGTTCCAGCCAAAGAATTTGGGGGATGGACACCAACATTCAGACCATAAAAAGTAGGGTTTTTTAAAAGGTAAGAAATATCTGACCATGTTAAGTGTAAAGGTGTCAGTAATGGGAAAGGTTAAAATACAGGAGAAATAATAATTGGGGGGCTGGAGAGATGGCTCAGTGGTCTAAAGCACCTACTTGGAACAAGCTTGGCAAAGCACAGGGACCGCGGTTCAATCCTCCAGCACCACATGCCGGCCAGCTGCGCCCCCTGGTGGGCTGAGCTGGCCACACACACACACACACACACACACACACACACACACACTAAATAAATGTTAAAAAAAAAATAAAATAAAATAATTGGGTGGCCAAAAGACCTGGTAAGTTCATAATTTGTGTATGTACTTTTAAATATCTGCCTTCTTCAGGTTATTGTAAGGAACAAACTACAGAAATGTAAAACCATATAATTTTTACAATTTAGAATGTATCTTATAATTATCAACAATCTGAGTTATAAGCGAGAGGTCATATTATCTTCAGTCAATATACTGTTCGTGTATTTCTGCTCAGACTAAATTAGTGTGCTATAAAAAGTAGAATCCCTATGCAATTAACATTCCTAATTATATAGTCTGTTGTTTTCACTTGGAAAGCTTTGGGATAATTTTTCCCTGATGTAACTCTTTAATATTTGACCCAATTTATATTAATGTACCAGGATTATAAATAATGATTGGTAAAAATGATAGCAAATTAATCACTCAAAATATTTAATGTTTATTTTTATAGGACTGAATAAGGATACAAAGTTCGGCTTAGTCTTATATTTGCATATTAATTTATATTCATCTCATGTCTTACTTTCTCATTGCTGGCACACAATGTCTTTACCCAAAAATTCAAGGAAGAAAGGTTTATTTTAGCTTATCATTTGTACAGGTTTCAGTCCGTTGTCTGGATCCATGGCAGGGTGGCAGAGGAGAGGGGCAGGAGAGGAGACGCAGGCCAAGGCATGGCAGGCAGAAAACAGTAAATCTTCCTTTCCCTTCTTCCATCAGGGCTGTAAGCCTGTTAGTTGACGCCACCCACACCCAAGTGGGCATTCCCGTTAGCCACACCCAGAACTATGCTAAAGCAACCAGTGGACTGATTTCATTATCACATAATTTTAATCCATATTCCCACAGCTTAGGGCCAGCCACCTCTGAGAAAATGCACCTATGAGTGCATGAGGCTTTAGGGGCCATCTAAGGACAAGTCAAAGACCTTGTTTTGTCATTTATTCCTTTTCGTTTGTTTTTGAGACAGGGTCTTGCTATGTAGTTCAGCCTAGCCTTGAACTCACCACTGTGTTTCCCCAGCTGTCCTCATACTCATCGCAGTCCTCTTGTCATGGGTTCCAAGTGCTGGGATCATAGGCATGCACCTCCATGATTGGTCCATTTATTCATATCTATTTCTCTTACTAGTAAGGGTAAGAAAGAGGTAGAATATTGTTAAAAGTGCATTGAACATTTTCTGAATTGTATAATTCTGAATTCTAACTTGTATAATTACTGCAACTTACAGTTCTGTTGTTTTTTTGCTTTGTTTTTGTGGCTGGCTCAGCCCACCCTGGGGCGGAGCTGGTGCGGCATGTGGTGCTGGGGATTGAACTGCGATCCCTCAGTGCTTGCCTAAGCAGGCGCTTTAGACTGCTGAGCTATCTCACCAGCCCCAGTTCCTGCAATGTACAGTAAAGAAGATGAATTGTCACAGCCAATTCTATTGGTATAAAGCTTAAGGTAGACATTTTTCTCTTTTAGGTTTTACACTTGTGATTTGCCCATTGATCTCTCTTATGGAAGACCAATTAATGGTTTTAAAACAATTAGGAATTTCAGCTACCATGTTAAATGCTTCCAGTTCTAAGGTATGAATTCTGTTTTATTTTTCTTTTGTAAAAATTTAAACTCCTGACTGAAATAGGAGTCATAGCTGCAATTGAGTGGCCTATAAAATTCAAAAACTGCTAAGTATTTCTATCAGGAGTTACTAACTACTGTTCATGGGCCAGTTTTAGCCCACTGCCTATTTTTTATGACCCATTAACTAAGAATACTTTCTATATTTTTATGTGTAAAAATAATTTTTGAACGATTAGTATTTTGTGAAATTAGCTGAAATTTCTATTTTAGTGTCTCTAAATGTTGGAACACAGCCATACTCACTCGCTGTTGTTTATTGCTGCTTTCACACCCTAATGGCTGAGCTGAGTGATGACAGAGCCCTTCTAGCCCACGAAACATAGTATTTATTGTCTAGCACTGTGTAGGAAACTTTTGCCTATATATTTTGTATCATGCTTTAAAATAGAAAGGCAAGCCAAGTATGATGGTGCATGTCTGTAGTCCCAGCACTCGAGAGGCTGAGGCAGGAGGGTTGCCACAGATTTGAGGTCTACTTGGATTACATAATTGAGTTCCAGGCTAGCCTGAACTACATAGTAAGATTCTGTGTCAAAAAAAAAAAAAAAAAAAAAAAAGAAAAGAAAAAAAAAAAGGAAGAATTGCAAATTGTGCAGTCTAGTTAAATATAAAAAATGAATTACAGTGAAGACGTATGTGAGATTTCTGTTGTTTGGGAATGGACTATCTCACTTTTATGTGTGGAATAGAGGATTGTGCAGCTTTCTTTTTTATAAAAAGGTCAGATGTGGTAGCACACACCTGTAATTCCAGCACTTAGGAGGCCAAAGCAGAAGGATCACCATGAGTTGGATCACCATGAGTTTGAGGCTAGCCTGATGATCTACATAGTGAGACCCTGCCTCAAAAAAAAAAAAAAAAAAAAAAAAAACAAGCGAGAAAATACACAGTGTGATGCATGTTTGAGGCATACAAGTGCCACATTCCACTTCTCAGCTCTTCTTTTACACAGCGCATATTACTGAAACCTTCAACATCGTACATGCGTGCGATAGTATAAAAACCATGTACCCATTATGCCCATTAACACTTAGCAATATATGGCCAATCATTTTTCATCCATAGCCCCAGTTTTCCCTATTCTATTCCTCTTGGTTTACTTATCTGAAACAAATTCTGTGTCTCAATGTAAATTCTTCAGTGTGTAGCTCTAATTTTTTTTTTAAAAAAAGGATTAGTGCAGTGCTCTTGTTTTTCTTATTAAATTTAATTTTATTATTTCATTTTGAAATGTAAAAGACAAAAACAACAAAAATCAGAAACAATGACAGAAACAGGGTAACATGCAACAATAGATATATTACGGATTTTCAAAACAAGAATAGCTGATTAACTATATATCTTCTTGTATACCTAAAAAACCTTAATACAAGCTCAGTGGCATAAGCGCCTGCCTGACAAATGCAAAGTCCTGAGTTCAATCCCTGGTACCAAACAAAGAAATACCAAGCACAGTTTCTTAAAATTAAAGCATGAACTATAATTAAAACAGCTTTCTGTCTCATCACTATTATTGTTACTTTAAAGTTAAGGTTAGGATAATATTCTTCCATTGTATTGTATGTTGTTAATGTAGCTATAGATTTCCCTTAACACTTTTTTTTGTTTTCCTAATGTAAATTGTTGAAGAAACCAGGTAAATTTTCCTGTTGCTTTCTGCAATCTGGATTTTCTTGATTGCATCTTTGTAATGTTGTTTCTGAGTCAGATCTAGTGACTTTGTATATGAATACTCTTTTTTTTTTTTTAATTTTTTTGGCAAACTACTCTGTGATCTTCCTACGGCATGACTCAGGAGGGACCTAACACCTGGCTACTTTATGAGATGTTAAGCTTGATCGGTATGGTCAGTTGATGCCTGCCTGGTGCATCATTTTCACTTTCTAATTAGAGCTTTCAGCAGCCACTGATAATGTGAACCTTGGAACCGTGGTTACATTAGGAAGATGCGCAGTGATGGTATTTAATTTTATTCCTCTTTGGTTTCATTTGTTAACCACAGTTATTCCATAAAGAAGAACTTCTTTCTCACTAACTCTTTGCAAAATGCAAATGCTTGATTTGTTGTCTTTCTGTACTTGTATTATCTACAGCTGGTCAATGTGTTCCTTGGGTTCTTCCCCCCTCACTTTTACATTATAAATTAAGCATTTGTGACATATTAATTCATATTTTTAATGCGGAAATAGTTTCATCTCTGAGTTGTGAGAACCTCTACAAGTTGGCTCCCAAATCTTTTTCTCTGACCTGGTAGCTTTTGACTCTGCTTTCTTTGAGGTACAACCCATTATACTTGCTATGTTTCTTGCCTACATCTGGAATCAGCGGTGTCTCCAAAATTCCTTGGTTCATTAATTTTCCTGCATGTTGTTTGCTGAATTTAAATTCTGTGTCATTCTATTCCTGACAGCATTCTGTTCTTATTTTGTTCTCTGATTCCATGGAATGAATCTGGGAGGAAATCACCTTCTATAGTGTACTTTCTTCAAACTGAAGAACAAAGTAATAGTAATGGAAAGTAGTGTAGAAAGTTACAGAAAACTACAAGTTCATGACCTGTCACTAGCACTGGAAAGCTAGTAAGATTAAAAATGAACATAAGTAGTCTAGAGTATCTGCAGTTGCTTTACTTCAGATGCTGTTGATTCAGAGATTTGGGGGGTGTGATTCCCAGTTTCTTCTATGCTAGTGTCTCCTACATTTGTTCTGGGTGGGCTTGGGGCCTGAAATTGCATTTTGCTCCTTCTCTTTGTCATTGTGTATAGCACTGTCCTCTAACCTTTGGTGTAGAGATTTAGTGCAGTCATAATCTTAGCACCTGCCAAAATCCTTACACAAGAGAGATTATATGGTTAAGGCAGTTATAGTTTTGTATTTACAGAACTAGGAACACTAATAATGGGTAGTGATATTTAGCAATTGACAAACTTTTGTAACTAATGGGTTCGTATTCTAGACAGTAAGAGCAAGCATTATTTCTGTGTAGCTAAGCAGATATTAAATTGGGAATTTGTATTTAAGTCAGTTCCCATAAGTTCTGTCTGATCACCTCTGCTTGATGTATGTGGTGTCTTCCAGGCAGACTAGTTCACCCCGGTTACCTTTTGCCCTCTCTCAGTCAGAGAGAAAGAGGGAGGATGCTCTCATAGATCTGGGTCTAGCAAAGTGTGTCAGCTTACTGGGTCTGGATCTACGAAGTTTGAACTCATCCCTATGTGCCGGTTTGGGTCTGGCTGCTGTGCTCAGCTCCTTCTTCTTGCAGCCCGTGGAAGTGAACCACTGTACCCCTCTGGCAAGATGTTCTGCTCCTGGATTAGCTGGGTGGTTCTGGTCCCAGCCTCTCTGCAGGGACTTCAGCTGCAGAGTTTCACACCAGGCCTATATGTCAGGCCTGGGCTGGGTCTGGAGGGGTCCCGAGAGTGCGGCAGAAAGTCTCACTCATGTTGGACCTGGGCTGGGTCTCTAGCCTAGAATATCTGTAAGAGTTAATAAAGTGCTTTTTCACTGGGACAGTGAAAAGAGTTTTGACTGCCTTTTCCTATCCTGTTCATTATTGGTTTTAGTGTACTTTTGGGTGCCTATTAAATTAGAAGGAAAAAATAACACCCATTGTGCTAAATGTTATATAAAATAATATCAAAGCACTAAGATGCTAATAACTTTTACCTCATAAATTTTTATTATAGATTGAATATACATTTTACATTAGAAAATCTTAATTTAGTGGAGAAAATTATATAAAATCCTATGGTCTTTATGTTTAAATAGAGATTAAAAGTAGATTTGATAGCATTAACATTTCATAGCAACAGATACTATCTGTCATGGATACATGAAGTGACACTAAATGTAATGTGAAGATTAATGAAGCCCATCTTTAGAATCATATCCATAGTACTTGGTGCACATTTTAGAAATGATGATGTCTAATTAAAAATTAGGCCTTTATAGAATAAATGCTCCTTACTGGAACATACTTTATGTTCACTTTTTTGTTCTCCTTTTTGCCAAGTGAAGTTATTTTTTCCCACCAACAATTTGGATGTAGGTAAATCGCTAGACTACTGTTTGCACAGCTGCCATGAAGCTTAGGGCCATGATTTCAGTTTTAATGACCCAAACATCTGCTTCTAGAAGAGCCCCAGGCTGTCATTTCTGGGTAATGAATGTGTTCATTTTCCACTTAGTATTGTAGACTGCTGGCATAATTCTACTCTAATTGTGTCTGTTTTGCCTTTTAATAGGAGCATGTGAAATGGGTTCATGCTGAAATGGTCAATAAAGACTCCAAGTTAAAGCTAATTTATGTGACTCCAGAGAAGATTGCAAAAAGCAAAATGTTTATGTCAAGACTGGAGAAGGCCTATGAGGCAAGGAGATTCACTCGGATCGCGGTGGATGAGGTGCACTGCTGCAGTCAGTGGGGACATGATTTCCGGCCTGGTATGTGTGTGCTGTCTAGCAGACCCCTTGGGGACAGACCATGCTGTTACTCCGTGCAGCGGCAATCTCCGCTTCCATTACATTTATCTTCTCACATGGGGATTACTCATTTTCTCTCGTCTTAATGAGAGAGGGAGCAAGACGCAGGATCTTTAATCTCTTCATTTCTTACTGCAGCTTTCAGTCTAATTGTCTCTATCCTCCAAAACATGTTTACTAGCCAGTGTTATGTATCTCTGTGCCATTTATCACCTCTCTGTATTTTGTCACGTTTGTGAGAAGTCAGCAAGTACTTCTTTATTCATCATTTTGGGTCTTTAACATCCCATCTGACTCTGTTGTCAGAGTTCTATGAGATGTTTTAGTAATTCTTTTCTTCAGTCCACCCACCAAATCCTGTCAGCAGAGCCTGGAGTAAGTTACTCAGAATTGTCCTATCCAAAAAAATTTTCAATTCAACATGTGTATTCCCTAGTTTCACCCTCTTTCCTTGAGGCTTTTCACATTCCTGGCGAGCTATTCCTCCCTGCTGTAGAGTGGTCTCGTCTCCCCCCGTCCTGCTGCATCTGTCCTGCATCACTTGGCTGCCTCCCTGGCCTGCATAGGCCCCGTGCCTGACCAAGATGCTGGCTCTGTCCAGATGTCCACTTTCTCTAATCCTGGGGTTTAGCTACTGAACACCATCAAAAGTAAGTTACCTACGTGTGCCAATTTCCACCTCAGCTCAGCTTTTCACCGTTCTCTTCTGTCCCCATTTCAGCTGCTGGGTCCCTTTCCTCCCACAAGCCCTTCCTGTCATTAACTTTCTCTTCAGGTCCTGACTCACACTTCCAGAGGTCTCCTGCTTCCTAGAAAATTGGTGCCTTCAGGAACTCTTTCTCCTCTTGAGCATTGCCATTTGTTTTCTTTTGCTATGTGTAGTTAAATAAAGGCTCTATTAGGGCAGCTACGACCACTCTCACCTCATCCCTCTCTGCCTTCAGATCTTATTCTGCAGGCTCCTCACTCAGGCAGCTTCAGTCTCATCGAGCCCCCTCCCTGAAAGTGCAGGAGCAGCAGCACTTGTGCCTCATCTCCCCCTGCACAGTGTTAACCTGTGTCTGTTCTTCCCTTCTTTGTCAGCCTTCTCAGCTTACCTCCTCCGCTTACCTCCTCCGCCTTAACTCTTTCCTGAATTCTTGCATGATACTAAGGCAGAAGAAAGGGTCTGGCTAATGATTTCACCTTTTGTCAATTTGAAGAGTTTCAAGTGCTATAACCAACCACACTATCTCTTGAATCTACAGTTCAGCAGGTGGAGGCGGGTGTATAGCTTGAAAGCATGTTTAATGTTTCCTAGCTTCCCCGGGAAGTTGTACCTGTAGCCAAGAAAGTGTTTCTGAAGTAAGGTATAATAAAGCCTGCCTATTCAGGAAGAGTAGCAGGCGAATGCAAATTTACCGTTAAAGACAACTGTGGAGATGAAATTATGGGGGTCACTGATTATCTGCATAACATTGAGAGTGTAATTGACTTTAATCCTCTGAGAATACAAAGAGACCCACTTTGTCTTTTTCAGATTATAAAGCCCTTGGTATACTGAAGCGGCAGTTCCCTAACACCTCTCTAATTGGGCTGACTGCAACAGCAACAAACCATGTTTTAAAGGATGCTCAGAAAATTTTGTGTGTTGAAAAGTGTTTTACTTTTACAGCTTCTTTTAATCGTCCAAATCTTTATTATGAGGTCTGTAACTTTTATGTCAATTTATACCTTTGTGAAGAATCATAACAGAGATCATTGTACATTTTGATGCTGTTTACTTACATGAATAAAAATAATACAGTAAAGTGTGTAACATTAGGAAAGTAATTGAAAGAATTGTTTAGTGCTTCCTATATATATCACTTATGCTTTGTAATCCCTTGTTAGATTATAGAAAACATGCTATCTTTTCTATGAAATAAGGGCAAGTCACATACCTTGGTTAAATTTGTGTATATTCTTGTAAAAGTATGGAAAGAAAAGATGGACTGATACCAAGGACTGCACTGATATTTCTGCTGAAACGACTAAATAGAAACATGAATAGAGTAAAGCACTGTCATGTGCCATTGTCTTCCACAGATTTCAATTTAAGAATGGACTTAGCCTTCTGAGCTTCATAGATTAGCTATTTATGCTGTATTTTAAGTGTTTATAAAAGTATCAGCAGAGAATAGAAGACTCCATATTGGAAAGTCATTCAAGGCTTCTACGCCTCATTAGATCTGGCAAATTAAAATATAATTAAGCAGAAAGTCTGGGGCCTGGCAAGGCTGAGCCAGGCGGGGCCAGTGGCGCGGGAAGACCGTCCTCACCCAGAAGTGCACCTCAGAGCTGCCTAGATGGCACTCAATTCCTTTTTAATAAGACAGCTTTCTTCCAGGTTCGGCAAAAGCCTTCAAACACAGAAGATTTTATTGAGGATATTGTAAAACTCATTAATGGGAGATACAGAGGACAATCAGGTAATAGAAAAGCAAAACAACTTTGGGAACTGAAGGATGACTTTCGATAAATGACCAGTTACCATGATAATTGCACTGATAGATGGCTAATACCTAAAATATTAACATAGGGTGGTAGATCATAGAAACTGGTGTGGCATTTGCTTGTGTCACATTTTATGAGCCATAAAGCTGTCAGATTTACTTATTATTTATACATAATTGCTTTAGAATGGGTCTGATGACAGTGTTAATTATCAGTGGCACGTACTTAGATAAGCATCTGCTGAGTATAAGATAATGGGGTTAAATGTTGGTGGTGTTCTAAAGGGCTATAAAATATAATAGCTTAGCATAAAGGATACATTCAATAAATGAGTAGCAGTTAATTGGTTAAGTGAACTTGAGTTTACCTGTAGATTTGTTCCAGGGTTAATAACTAGGGAGGTGATACTGAAAGTGTTCATGTAAAAGTCACATTTCTGGATATTCAGGAGAAGGCAATGGGCATCCTGGGCAAGAAGAGTTCTCAGGTCAAGTGAGCTTGTGGAAGGTGGCAGTTCTGTATCCCTCCTGGAGTGTTAAAGTGCGTTAGCACTGTGGATGCTCTAACCAGCCCTACTTAGGGAAGAGACAGGCCTCTTTAACTTTGATGAGTATGGTCTTCTGCAAACACATTTGTATGTGAAACTCTTTTCACACCATACTATGTAACATCTTGTGGACTCGTGGGACGTCAGTTTGAGAATTACTATATGTGGCAAATGAGGTGGAAGAGAGAAAAGAGGTAATAAGATCCAAAACTAGTATCTCATTTCTGCACTAGAGCATGCTGGTGATCAGATCTTAAATTATATCCAAATGTTGCTTCTGCTCAAGTTCCTGAGAATTTCTCTTAATTCTTGTTTCTGTGTATACTGTATCAGTGTCTTGGAATATACCATATATATTTGTAATACCTTACCATTTCATCACAGGAATCATATATTGTTTTTCTCAGAAAGACTCTGAACAAGTTACTATTAGTTTACAGAAGTTGGGAATTCATGCTGGGGCTTATCATGCCAATATGGAGTCAGAAGATAAAACTAAGGTTCACACAATGTGGTCAGCTAACAAACTTCAGGTTAAGTATATATCTCCAATAGAAGCCTATCTAACTTTAAAACTATTTACATTTGACTAAATGAACTAATGAAGTATTAAAATGTTGTAGGTAGTAGTGGCAACGGTTGCATTTGGTATGGGAATTGATAAGCCTGATGTGAGATTTGTTATTCATCATTCAATGAGTAAATCCATGGAAAACTACTACCAAGAGAGTGGCCGTGCGGGTATGTAGAACTCATATCTAGAAGGGATTTTTAGAAAGCTTTTCCAGAATGCATGTTATAAACATTTAATCATTCTGCATTTAAAATTCTTTACTGGGTAATATTTTTAGAACAACCAATGAAATATTTTTTCAAGATCTGTATTTATTTTCAAAGGGAGAAATTTTACACATGTTATTGATACATTATGCATTGTTTTTCATGTATGCTAAGATAATTTGATACTCATCTCTGTCTCTTGAATTTTTAACTACAAGTTTCTTCTTCTTCTTTTTTTTTTTGTATTTTAGGGAAAGAGGGGCCAGGGAATTGGCTCAGTAGAATAAGTGCTTCCCTGGCAAGCACAAGGGTCTGAGTTCAATCCCCGGTTCTGAAAAAAAAAAAAAAAAAAGCGCAGAGTGTATTTTAGGGAAGGGTCTACAGGCTGTTCAGGGTCTCACTGCTAGATCAGACTCCTAGTGATCCACCTGTTTACAGCCTCCTAAGAGCTGGGATTACAGGCGCACACCACTACACCCAGTCTCAGTTGAGTCTCAGCGTGCCCTGGGGGCGGGGCCAGCATGGCAGGCCCAAGGATAGAACCCTGGCTCCCGCGCCTACTTGCAGGCTCTTTAATCCGCTGAGCTATTTGGCTGGCCCAACTAGAAGTTTCCAGTCTATAAGTTAAATAAATGAATAAGTTTGGTTATTTTTTTTAACTTAATAAAGTTAACTTTGATAAATCTGTTCTCTTTTAAAAAAAAACAAAACTAATTTGTAAGTAGCGCTTACAAATTAACTTTGATATCCCTAAATTTGTAGATGTACCATGAAGTTTTGCCAGCTCATTTTTACTTATTTTATGTTATTTTTATATGTTATGGATTTTTAAAAGTAGTTATGCAATCTCAGGATTTCTCACACTACAGGTCGAGATGACGTGAGAGCAGACTGTATTTTGTATTATGGCTTTGGAGATATATTCAGAATAAGTTCAATGGTGGTCATGGAAAATGTGGGACAACAGAAGCTTTATGAGATGGTCTCCTACTGTCAAAATATAAGCAAGTGAGCCATATTCCTTTTTATGATTTGTCAAAGACAAGTATAATATTAAAAGGTATGGGTTTTTGAGTACTTAACCCCACAGCACAGGTCTGTAAGAGCAGATGTCTGAGGGTAAAAAGTGGTACGTGGTCCCTCTGTGTTCTACTCATTCCAAGATGAGGTGCTCTGTCTTAGAAGTAACGCTCGGAAGCTAGTTTTTTGATTGAAGATATTAATGCGCTTGCACAATGCAGTGCAGCCATTATTCTCTGGCTCTGTAAACTTTGGAAAGGTGTGTGATAAGACAGGCATCTTCAGGGTGAGTCTGCCAACTTGCTGTCTCCCAGCTGATGGGTGAAGGAAATAACCCAGAACAGGGTCAAGACTCTCATTGTACAGTACATTTAAATCTACTTACAGTGGCTTAGGTACAGCTTTCTGGTGGCCTGGGTCCTGACAGGGACTTCTGTGCTTTTATCTCAAAAGGGCTCAAAATGTTGAAACGGAACAGTAACCCAACAGTGATAGAAGACTGTATTTTCTTTCCATTAGCTATTATACTTAAATGAAGAAATGAAAATTTTGTTAAAAGCCCAGTAGATTCCCATGAAGTGTATTTTTGGATTTAGAATAAAATATTGGTAATTTAAAATACAAGAATCTCTTTTACTATTGAGTATCTTAATAGTTGCAAAGTATTAAATCTCAAAGTGACATAACTTAGGCAGTAGTTACCATATGGAAATAATTACATGTAGGCAGAATGTACCCCCCACCATGCCCATGTCCAGATCATTAGAATTAGATGTCACCCTGCACAGCGAAGGGAAATCAGAGTTGCTGATGGAACTGAGGTGGCTGCACAGCTGTCCTTCAAGTGGAATTATGTTAGATCTTCTTCATGGGCACAGTGTAATCACAAAGGTCCTTAAAGGTGGAAGAAGGCAGACAGATGAGACACAACCCACTGGTGTTACTTGGAAGATGGTGGAAAAGGGGCCTACAGTTAAGGAATGTGTGCCCCACCCCTTAGAAACTGGAAGAGGCAAGGACACAGATTGTCTCTTAGAGCCTCCGGAAGAAACCCAGTCCTGCTGACACCTTGATCTTGACCCAGTGAGATGCATAGTAGGCTTCTAACTGAGAGAAGTGTAAGATAATAAATTTGTAGGGCTGGCCAGATAGCTCAGCGGATTAAAGCGTCTGCTTAGGCAGACGCAGGGGTCAGAGGTTTGATCATGACCAGCGGTGCCAGCCCTCCCCCAGGGCTTGCTTCGATGGCAGTTAAGACTGGGTGTGGTGGCGCACACCAGTAATCCCAGTGCTTGGGAAGCTGAAAGCAGGAGAATCACTACAAATCCAACCTATGTTGTGAAACCCTGTAGACCTTGCACTAAATACAAAAAAATAAAAAAAAAAATTTGTATTGTTTTAAGCTATTATGTATAGTAATGCCATGACAACAATAGGAAACCAATAGGTTGTGTAACTATGTGTTCTGAAGTAGAGATTCTTAAAACTTTATTAGTTTGGAGAACTACCCGCTTGGCCCCCCCTCCTGTCCCTCTCTTGGACAGGAGCTTTCTTTCTCTCAATAAATATATTCTGCTCATAAAAAAAAACTTTATTAGTTCATGTCATAATTTGCATCCAAATGTCTTTGTAGATGTCGCCGAGTATTGATAGCTCAACATTTTGATGAAGTGTGGAATTCGGAGGCATGTAACAAAATGTGTGACAACTGCTGCAAAGACGTTTGTAAGTCTGCTGTTTTTGAAACCTTTGTAGGCTAATCCTACACAGCTAGCATAAGTGAATTATTAGATTCCAAAGTGGACTCAAAAGATTAAACAGGGATTAAACTAGAATATTCCAGATTCAATAATACCACAAAGTTTTGAAAAAAAAAAATAGCAGTCATAGATGAATGTGTATATTTTATAGTGTTATACTAAGGACATGTGAAATTTTTGAGAGAAAAATTGTAATTCCCCTGAATAGAAATGCTATTATGTCAAGAAAACACTCTTTCTAGGCACAGGTTGGGAAGAAAACTTGGTGGAAAATAGATTATAGTGAATCATTCTTGATAAAACTCCATAGACATAAATTTAGCAGTATTTTGTGCTGCATAGGTATGACTTAAGAAGACGGTGAACATTTCCATGAGTCCCCCTCAGAACACTCCCTCTTGCTTCCAATACATCTATCCCATCGTTCTTGGTGGAAGTCCTCTCTTGAGAGTGTCTCTGGTTTCAGTATCATAGCTGCCCCAGTGTCATGAAGCCATTCAAAGCACTGACCTTTCATGGTCATTCTGATTTTCACAAAGAGCCAGAAGTTGCATGGTGTCAGATTCAGTGAATAAAGTGCATGGGCATGCACCGTAATGCTTTTCTTTGACAGAAATAGCCATAAACATTTGATGGAGGTATGACTGAAAAATCTAGTAAATTATAAAATATTACAATAAAGACACATCACCATTAATCCCCCTCAGAATTTATTCATTTATTTATTTATTTTTATTTATTTATTTTTTTGTGGTACTGGGGATTGAACTCAGGACCCTGTGCTTGCCAGGCAGGCACTTATTCTACTGAGCTATCTCCCCAGCGCAAATGCAGAAGGGGTTTTGTTGTTGTTTTTGGTGGCTCCACGTTGCCTCCAGCGCTGGTCTGGGTTGCCTGGAGTATCTGGGAATGGAACCACCGCTCCCAGAGACTGACTGCCTCGTTTAAGCAGGCACTTAAACAACTGAGCTAATCGGCGGGCCCCCTCCCCCTCAGAATATTTCCTCTTGCTTTGAGTACACTTTTTCTGTTGTTCTTGACAATTTTTTACATTTCTAAAAATTTTAATATACAGAACCAGGCATGGTGGTGGCCCATGCCTGTAATCCCATCACTCTAGAGGCTGAGGCAGGAGGATTATTGTGAGTTTGGGATCAGCCTGGGCTACAGAGTGAGCTCAAGGTCAGCCTGAACTGCACAGTGAGACTCCATCTCAAAAAGATTAAAAAAAAAAAGTCATTGTATTTGTCCCTCATTCCTTGAATTTAGATTTTTTTTTTTTTATTAATGTTTCTGAAAAACCAGCTTAACCAGACTCTCATACAAAGGCTTATTCTGAAGTGTGGGTGGGTGGCGCTCACTACACTTCTAACTTTGTGGCTAGAGAAGCTTAGCAGTTCATTGAACTATGTTGTACTGACCAAATTAGTAGGAACCCAATAGATAAGTCAGAGTGCTCCTCTCTTCATTGACAACCCCTGTCTGGGAGTTCTCACTTGAAGAAACCCACACTCATTTTTAGAATTTGACTTAATGAACACAAATGAGATAGCCATAAAAAACAGGCTCTGCTATGTAACTATAAGGCACACCTCTTAGTAAATGTCTGGTAGGCATACCTGGTTCCTAAAGCCTGCTCCTAACCAGGCTAGTTCATTTATTTATTTATTGTATCACATAAAACCCACTGTGCTATATAGAGACCATAACCTGGTCGAGCAACAGGCTTGAACAACTTCATTAAAAAAAAAAAAAAATCAATATTTTAGGGTTGCTCATAGTGATAACTAGTTTTGAACCAGTTTTAACTACGTGGGCTAGTTATCCTTGCCCTCATCTCTAAATCCCGCTTGTCAGAAACCATGCCTTTTGCATTGCAGCTTTTCAAAAAAAGAACGTGACAGCATACTGCAGAGATCTAATCAAGATCCTGAAGCAGGCAGAGGAACTGAATGAAAAACTCACTCCACTGAAACTGATGGACTCTTGGATGGGAAAGGGCCCTGCGAAACTGAGAGTGGCCGGGGTCTGCGCTCCCATGATGCCTCGTGAGGAAATGGAGAAAATTATTGCCCACTTCCTTCTACAGCAGTATCTTAAGTATACATCCCGTTCTTATCCTTTCATCTTATCTTTATGATTTGCTTTTGGTTTTTTAATTAAAACAGAATCACTTTGTAGGTATTTCACCAAAACTTTTAAATGCTATAGAAAACTACCTAAACACTCCAACCTTAATTGATCACTTTAAATCAAAAAAGCATAAAACCACATGGTACCTCAGTTCCCAAACTTAATTTGTTCTAAAATTTTGGAAAAGATGCCTGTGTTTGTGTTGGTGGGGAAGAAGATGGCTGTGGCTATGTTTTTTACCCAGTGCAGAGTTCACAAATACTAAACACGTAAGTTTGTGAGTCAGATTGTTTGCAAATGAAAGTGTTCATGAACTGAGGGACTGCTACACTATAAAGATTTTATTTGTGCTCCTACAATATTATTGCATATTTACATGTCACTTAAAATTGTAATTACTTCTGAGTTTTTCCATGGTTCCTTCATGTTTCCTGATTGTTGGCTTTTGTCTTCTACAGAGAGGACTACAGTTTTACAGCGTATGCTACTATTTCATATTTGAAACTTGGACCCAAAGCGAATCTTCTGAACAGTGAAGCACACATCATTAGTATGCAGGTGGAGAAGCCCACACAGAGCTGTTTCAGGGTAACTGGCCAGCTGTTAATTTTCAATTTCTATGTATGTAAAAAAGTTAAGTCCTATGGGATGCCTTTCTGTAATTCCTTCCTAGAGCTAACTGAACACAAGAATAGATGTTAGTTCTCAGATTCTTTTTTCCTTTTGTTTTTTTGAGGCAGCGTCTCACTATTAGCTCAGCCTGGCCTTGAGCTCACTGTGTGCTGGTCTCCAACTCATGGCAATCCTCCTGCCTCAGCCTCTCAAGTGCTAGGATTACAAGCATGCACCCCCATGCCTGGCTAGTCCTCAGACTCTGAGTCTGGAAGGGAGCAAACATAACTGTATTTGCTATATTAACTGGAAGAATTCAGCCTAGCCAAACAGACTAAGGAGTTTCTGACCCCTTAGAAGGACAGGCCTCCATTTTAAAGTCTAACTTTGTGAGGCCCCAGCCCTCATGGCACTGGTTGGGAGCACCACGAGCTAAAAGGTCTGTGCTACTACAGTGACTGAAAGCCACCAATACGGGGCAGAAGCCATCCAGCCTGCAAAAGCATGCTGTATATTCCTGCTGTCTAGGGATAACCCAAGTGTGATTTAGACTTCTTCAGACAAATGTAGCACCTTTTATTTCAGCTGGATCTCATATGTGAGTAGAAATTTAGAAATGAAGATCAGACCTGGGGCATTTCCAGAACCAATTGCTACAGCAGGACTATTTTACATTATTTATCCGATGAGAAAATCAAAGGACTGAACTTTTACCAGGGTTCTTGCTTTGCTTTCTTCATTGTTTTACAGGCTGAACCATCCGACTCTTGTCATTCTGAACAAGTTGATAACATGGGGAGAGAAAAAAGCTCAAGCAACTTCCAAAAGTCTGCAAACATGTCTCAGCAAACTGGCACCAAGAATCCAAGGGGCAAGAAAAGAAAAATAGATGCCTGAAATGACTGTTACTAAATTTCCCACAAAAGGAATAATTCATGCATGTGTAGTTAAAATTTTGTAGTTAAAATTTCATTTACAAAACAATTTGATTGTTTTATACTTGTAGAACTACTTCTTCAGTGTTTTATCTCTGAAGATTTAAGAATTTGAGATCTTTTTTTTTTTTTTTTGGTGGAACTGGGGATTGAACTCAGACCCTTGCACTTGCCAGGCTAGCACTTATTCTACTGTGTTATCTCCCCGGCCCCTGAGATCTTTTGATTGGAGATCTTTTCTTTCTTTTTTTTTTTTTTTTTTTGGTCTTTTTGAGACAGGGTCTTGCTATACAATTCAGGCTGGTCTTGAGCTCACTTTGTAGCCCACACTGGCCTCGAATTCCCAACGATCCCCTTGCCTCAGCCTCTTGAGTGTTGGGATTACAGGCATGTGCCAGTACACCTGGCTGGAGATCATGTATTATATAAATTTTATTGTATGAAACAAAGAATAATAAATCTTCATGTAAAATTCATGAAATGTGGAATACTTGAGACAAGTTTAAGCATGATAAGCTTTTTAGCCTTCGTATATTTACTATATTTTTTCCTTTGGCAGAACAGTCTTTTTTATAGCAGGATTATGCTGGGCTTATCACTACAAACATTTTAAGCATTATCATGTACATGATTTCAGGTATAAAAATAGCTGTATAATTCAAACAAAGTAAGTCATCAACATAAAAAGTATATTAACACATAAAATACTGCTGTATCTCTATTTAAGTAAAATAAAGTGCTAAGCTGATTGAAACTACATTTCATAATCAAAGAACAGGTCTGGCCTATTAAGAGTCCATTTTAGCAAAGTAGTAACAATTTATAAGTTCCAAACCTAGATCACAGGTAAAATGTTTAAAGCTTAAAAATTACTAACAAAATTTCTTACATAAGAAGAGGTAAATTTTATATTAGCAAAACATATATGTAAAGAAATGATTTGAATGATTTCATCTTTAGAATTTTATTTCTTAAATACTTTTCCATGAGCATCATTCTGTGTTTTTACCCCAGTCCAGAGTTGGGGATTGAACCCAGGGCCCCACACATCATGTCTGGTGACACTTTCTGTGTTTTTAACTTTCTTTCGCCATTTGGTAAGTTCCGTCATTCAATACTAACTGTAGTTTTCCTTAGTTGGAATTTTATGTGAATCTTGAAGAAATCTCATTTTAGTCAAAATAATCTTCTATATCGATATTTGGATCTAGCAGTTCTTCTCCATATGGTGAAAGATCCATTTGGTTTAAAATTAAATTTTCAAATGTTTCCTCTAAGTCCGTTTCACCAATTAAGACGGCTCCCATCATACGCCCATTCTGCATGACCACTTTGACGTACTCCTGTCCTTTGGTGCATCTCAGCATTAGCTCATGATCTGAACCCAGGCCCTGCGCATTGTATTTTCCCAGCAATACAACCTACACATTGGGATAAAAAAAAGTTACTCTGCTGAATAGCGAGAAGTGAAACAGAATGTTGTTATTCTGGGTCATGCTAAAATAGCCTACAAAAAACTATTCAACAAAATTTTACAGCTCAAAGTGTTATTGGGGAGGGTCCAAAGAAAGCATTTTTCTATAGACAATACTGCCACCCATCAAGATATTAAGATATTAGTGAATATATTGATGTTTTTTGGGTGGGGGGATTCTACAATGGTATGTTGCATATTTTTGTCTTCAAATTAGTTGATCAAATTACCAGATGTAAGCATTCAAAACTGTTAAAAGAAAGTTATAAAAATTTTAAAAATGAAAAAAGTTTAGTCACTAAACTTCTCCTTTCAATAGACCAGTAGAAATTAGCAGTACAATTATCTTCCTGTATATATGCAGAAGTACCTTTTTTTTTTTCTTTCCTTTTTGTCCTTTTCCTCATCCAGCTGTCCCTTTCCTTTTAACAAATGCTTTCTCTTCCACAGTACTATTGAACTTTTCAGATTTTATTTACTCTTTCAGGTTCTTACACTAGTGAGACTACGACGTTTACACATGTGGGTTGATTTTTAAACACTGGAAGTACCTACTGCACTATCTCCATGAACATTAAAGGTATGTGGTGAATATGTAAGTGTACAGAACATAGACTACATTAGCCTAGAGCTCCCGCTGAACATTTAATGAGGAACTGAGTTTATCTTTGAATGAACAGATTACTTAGGAAAGAAACTTATTTGAAGCTTTTTTTTTTAAATTTTATTTATTTATGTGTGTGTGTGTGGCCAGCTCAGCCCACCAGGGGGCGGGGCTGGCAAGCATGTGGTGCTGGGGGATTGAACCGCGGTCCCTGTGCTTTGCTAAGCTTGTTCTAAGTAGGTGCTTTAGACCACTGAGCCATCTCACCAGCCCATTTGAAGCTTTTCAATGTATTTTTCCTTGTCAATAAATTTGGAGGGAAAAAAATCTTGCTTCAGTATAATTTAACAAGGTTCAAATAAAGTGTTATTAATGGAAAATACCCAGCTCATTCCTAAGGATGATACCTGTTAGTTTCCTTCACAAAGGCAGTATCTCAAGTAAAACTTAGAAAGCTACCAACATAGAACAAGCCTGGGGTGAAAGTTTTTTCCCCCCTTTAACTGTAAAATGGTATATAGTAACATAATAATTAACAGCAGTGATAATCAGGTATTATTTTGTAAGAAAAAGTTTTATTTTTTTATAAAATGCTTGGAACTATTTACAGTTTTTAGTAAAAAGTCAGATAGAATATATTGAATTACCAGGCTGACAGAAGAAGTTGTGTTCATTTGCTTAATTAACCACCTTACCTTAGAGTTAAAAAATTTTGTCACATGAGCAAACAGTTCGAAGCTGAAATCCATGTCAATGTAGCCTCCCGAGCTAGCTGCAGCCATGCACTTTGCAGCATACCATCCCATCTGTCTGGCCTGGGTCCACAGCCTCATCTGAACAGAGAAAGGAAATAAGTCTTGTTTTCATTCTCATTACTTGAAAATGAAACTCCCTTAAAGAGGTTCAGTGCTTGACAGTCCTTCGGTTGGTCCTAGTTATTATCTTTGCCTCTAAAACAGTCACCAGTGTACACTTATCAAGCTGAGTTTGGTATTCTATTTCATCTAAATTACTCTCAAAAAATTAAGGCGAACATCTACCAATCAGGGATATGTTTCATAAAAGTTCAATGAAACATTTCTCTACAAAAATATTTGAGATTACATCAGATGAGGGCAATATTTTAATTAGCCAGTCCCCTCTTCAAAGTCTGCCATCCTCATTAGAATACAAATCAAATTAGCATGGAAAAATTTGTTCCATCTCGGTACCCTTTATTTTTCAAGCGTTAATTAGGGCCTACTATGCTATTAAATTCAAAACACATATAGATACACTGGTATCAGTTGTTGCCCAGACTTACAACATCAGATTTTGGCAACTGATTGTAGGACTTCATTTCATTTCTCTCTGACAGTACCAGTTTCCTTGCAACTGGATTTTTACTGTTTTTACAAAGTTCAGCGACTCCTTGGTATAAAAGAAGAAAACTGGGCTTGGGAGTTAACAGCAGACATGAGTACCAACTCTTCCGCATATTTAACTTTCTGAGCCTCATTTTTGGCACCAGAAACACACATCGCACCACGTACTGCGTGGCTGTTGGGACAGTAGGCTGGCCTGTGACAGGCAATCGGTTTCTTCTAGCCCTGTGTGCAGATGTATCTAATGCTGACTTTTTGTATGTGCCAAAGTATAAACATGAGCTGTGAGCATTCCTAGTATCAGTTTGCATAAGGAAGGTAGGTGTGATGGAGTGAAAAGCAGTCTACTGCGAGGGAGCAGAGCAAACAGCTAGCAGCAGCTAGACAGTGGCAAAAAGAAGTAGCTCAACAGGACACTGCTGGGACACTATCCAGTGTACTCAGCCTCAAAATCTCTTAAGTAAGGGCCAGCCAGATAACTCAGCAGATTAAAGCGCCTGCTTAGGCAGGCTCAGGGACCAGGGTTCAATCCCAGGCATGCTATGCCGGCCCTGCCCCTGGGACACACTGAGATGGTGATTGAGACTGGGCGTGGTGGCGCATGCCTATAATCCCAGCACTTGGGAGGCTGAAAACAGAAGAATCACTACAAGTTCAGTCTATGTAGTGAGACACTCTAGACCCCCTAGACCCTGTAATAAACAGTACATTAAAAAATCCCTCAAGTGTCTGACACAGGTTATGTCTGTCTGTCTGTCTGCCTGCCTGTCTGTCTTTTTTTTTTTTTTTTGTACCAGAGATTAAACTCAGGACCTTGTGCTTGCTAAGCAGGTACTTTCTCCACTGAGATAACATTCCTGGCTGGTTATGTCAGATAAATTAATGTGTCTAATGCTTGCAAAACCTAAGAAGTGGAATCTTAGACTCACTGAAAACAAGAGACATGTTTGTTTTTTGGTTATTTTTCTTTATAGTAAGTTATCCACACATTAAAGATATAGTTTGTCTGAGACAGTTTAAAATGTTAGTTCCACACACTCCAGTTCATAACCGAGTTATCCCACAGAAATGACATAGGATTTGGAAAACACTGAAACTTGTGGGTGTGAGGTGTTTTAGAAACAAACAGGCTGAAAGCACTCTTTATTGAGGTCTCTTAAGTACAGAAAAACAGAAAATGAAGCTGCACCTTACAATACACAGCTCCTCCAGGACTCCCCATCTTGTCATTCATCTGAGTGAACAGCCTTGAGGATGAAACTGGTTTTTATCAAAGATAAATGCTGACCGGTTTTCCTCATCCATAACATCTCCCTGTCTACCATTCCCAAGAAAGCTTCCTTTTGTCTTTGATTATCTTCCTTTAGGAGTTTTTTTTGCCCTTTCAGAAGGATGCAGGCTGCACTGTGTGCACAGGGGGTTGTCTAGCTCCAGATGGCAGCTTCCAAGACGCAGGAAAGCTGTTCACTGGGAGTAGTAATTTTTAGTAATACCATCAGGACAGAACAGGGTCATCCAGGAATAGAATGTCTTATTTATGTAATTTATGATCTCAGTGGTTCAAATATAAATAAAAAAATTAGTTCCTCGGTCATTCGAGCCACATTTAAAGTCCCCATGTGACTCATGTGAGCAGTGGCTGAGCAGTGCAGAATTACAGCATATTTCTATCACCACAGAGTTCTGCTGGATGGTGTTGATAACAAGCATATTAGAATGAAAAGTAAAGTAATAGTCCTTGATTCTTAATTTTCTACAAAAGATACCCTGTCTACTCTATAATTTACTATGTCATTTACCAAAAGGGGGGGAATCTAGGGTTTTTTTTTTTTAATATTACAAAATAACTTTGTGATGGCTTCCTATATAAAGTATAAATGTTGGAAGACCAGGCAGTTGGATGGGTCGGTAGCAACTGCTTTACTACTTCACAATGAACCCCTGGTAAGATCACCGCTCTTAAGTGCTGGCTCACCTGCTGCCAGACGGGGCTGGGCTGCCAAGACGCCGTGCAGATATCCCCTGCAGCATAGATGTCCGGAAGGGACGTGTGCATGTGGTCATCCACTCTGAGGCCACCATCTTCTCCTAGGTCAAACTAAGTGAGGTTCCTCATAAGCAGTGCATTTAGAGACAACGGAAACGTGACTTTTCACAGAAGCATAAAAGAAGTCACATGGTTACACCGCGATCTTTACTGGTCACTGTGCTTGCATCTGATCTTGAATGAGAGGAACAAGCAGCTGTGAAGCCTGGGGACCTAGGCTGACTTTCCAGGGATTAAAGTTTTACTGACACAGACTCAGAAATTTCAGAATTCCAACATCAAAAGTACCCCATGACCATATGATCGCGTTACTCATCACAACAGCCCTGCTTTTATAAGCTTCAAGTGCTGAGAGCCAAAAGAAAGTAAGAATCTCTTAAGACTCATTTCTGAGAATTCATAGCAGCTGTTAGTCTCTTAACACCCCTTAGTTAAATAAGTTGTACACTACGTCCCGTGATCACACTTGTTCTGGGATGCTAACTGCTTTTAAGAATTTTAAGAAGTAAAGAATACTATAAGTCAATACATGTATATAAAAAAAATCATTCTCAGCTGTTGTTAGTTTTTTTTATTAAATTTATTCATGCTTGAGAATTAGACCTCTTCATAAAGAATTGCTATTTTAAAAATACTTATAATTGCCCAAAGCATTTCACCTTACATTGTTACCGTGAAGGAAAGGCTCTGTATTGGGTGTAACTCCTGTTGCACTGACAATGAAATCACAGCCGTACAGCCTTTCATTGGTCAGTTCCACATACACGGGCCACGTCTCTTTAAAAACAGAGAGATTTTATTTGGAAATGTGATCAACTGCAATGATCCATAGCATTACATGAATGTAATGAATAGAAGCAAAAGAGGTAGCCAATGGCTTTAAGCAAGAGCCTTTAATGATTTTCATAAGGTACTTTCCTTAGAGTAATTTTAATACAATCATTATCATCTATTTTTGGTATACAGTAATTGCAAAATCATTCCAAGAATTTCCTTCAAATTTGGACATGTACGCACTTTAACAAAGTAAATTTACATGGACAATTGCTTTCTAAATTATTTCTTTAAAAACTATTATTAATACTTGATAGCACTATGTTTGTTTGTTTGTTTGTTTATTTATTTATTTATTTTTTTGGTGGAACCGGGGATTGAACTCAGGCCCTTGCGCTTGTCAGGGAAGTGCTTATTCCATTGGGCCATCTCCCAGCCCCATAATGCTTGATACTCAGTGTTCACTCCAAAGCTTCCCCTTTTTGATGTTGCTCCTCACTATTCCCAGCCCACCTGACACTCCCTCGTCCTGTAGAAGAACTCAGACTTTAAGCCAGACCCCAGTGGGCTGGGTATTCCTTCACATGGCTCATAGGAGTGTGCAGGGCAGGAGGAAGTTCTCAGAGGGCGTGTGGGATAGGTTTCCGAATTGCATCTTAGTCTCAAGTCCCTCGATTTTAATCTGCTTCACTGGGGTGGAGGAGAGAGGTAGTCACCTGAAGCTCCTGAAGCTCTGTTTTGTTTTCAGTTTGGCTTTTTGGTACTGGGAACTGACCTCATGCTTACCTGGCAGGCACTGTTCCACTGAGCTACATCCCTGGTCCTCAATTTATTTTATTTTGATCTGTATGATACTGATGGCCTTATATAAAGTACAAATGCCTATACAAATGTTTAGAAAATTTATAAGGAATAAAATGACATAATGATAGTAAATTTGGTTTTATGTTTACTTTTCTTATATAAATTTATATAGAAATTTGAAGTTTTAAAATTAATACAATAAGGTTAAATTAAACTTCTGTAAGTAATAACTTTTTTCCTTTCTGCTTACCTTTATCTGTTGTAAATGACTTAGGATCTGTTGGAAAAGTCAAGGAATTTTTCTGCAGAAGTTTAAATTCTTCCTGGAGGTAGATTTTTTTTACTTCACACATAGTTTCAATGTGAACCTTATGAGAAAACTAAAAATAATAAAAAAGTAAAAATAGTCATACAGTGCTTCTAGGAAGAATGACTTAGGTTACTGAAGAAAAAGAAAACAATTACAATACACATATAGCAATGCATAAAGAAAACAATTCTTGTAAATGAAACACACTGGCTGCCCCCAAATAAGCCTCTCAGTTCCTGTGCATGAAAAGAGTGACCAGCAATTCATTCAGTACTTAAGAGACTCACTGGAAGATAGAATGGAGAGAATGTTTTGTAGCGTAGGCCTCCTAAAATTTATACATAGACTTTTTTAGAAACTGGCAATGATGACACAGTAAAACCTCTGAAGCAAGATCTGACTACTCAGGCCCAGAACTTTACTAAGGTACAGGAGTGGTATTTATTTTATTTTATAAATAATATGTTTATCAATTAATCAATTTTTTTCTTTTCTTCTTGGGTCACTAGACAATTTTCCATCTCACTTCCTCTAATTTTAATGTATTTCTCTTTTTTATTAATATTTTTTTTCTTTTCAAAGTTTTATTGATAAACATATAGCAATGAGACAGTTTCAAATCAAATCGAAAGTACAGTTTCAACAAATAATACACTGCATATATTCTTCTTAGTGGTTAATTGCTGTACAAGATGCGGACTTGTGATCCTACTTACACCATTAGAATAAATCATTCTATTCATTAAGAGAATGCAACTATATATCTATCCCAACCACTTTGAATACACAGATACAAAATGGACATTCATAGTTATACCCCAATTTTTTTAAGTTCCGTTGTTGAATATTATTCTTTTTTATTAATCTTATTGAGACAGTTTCAAAACTGATTAGTAGGACAATTTCAATAATCAATACATTGCATATTGTTGTTTTCCTAGTGGTTATTCATAGCACAAGAGGCAGACAGGATATCCTGTCCAAACATTACTAGTACAAATCTTTCTTCTCATTTGAATTAAGAGAAAGTAGCTGTATATCTAGCCAGTATATTATATCCAGATACAAAATGGTCTTTCATTTCACTTGTATCCCCCTTTTTGTTTAGTTTTGTCAGAGATGGGTATTCCATTGCGTTGTAAATATTGTAGGTGTGTGAATTCAGCAAAATAATCCAATATAGTCCAGTAGTCCATAATAGTACTGGGTTATCCATAGGACTGGCAATGTCAGAAGTTGTTGACTTGAGCCTTTTACAGCTCAGCATATTAATATGGCTTTACTTTTTGTACCTTGTTTTTATACTTTTCTGCTGGATGGTTAAAACCAAGATAAAGCAAGACCTATATAACAAGAAATGTAACTTCTGTATCTGACAAGGCCAGTCAAATCCCCCAGGAGAGGAATTAGACAATAAATGTTTTGGAAACAAACTGTTGAAATACTTGGGTTAAAAATATAATTAAGCTTAAGACCTACGAGTACAGGAAAAAATGATTTTGTATAATTTCCAGCCTCAAAATTAGATAGCCATGGAGCCAGCTACTTCCCATTACCCAAAGCTAAAAATCAATGCTTTATAAAAATAACAGAGTAATGAAGGATTACTTGGCTTTTTAGAATATTTAAATATGACAGCTTAAATTTTTTTTTAAAAATTAAAATAGCTTAGAGGGGGCCAGGGAGACAGCTCAGCAAAATAAGAGTCTGCCTGGCAAGCATAAGGTCCTGAGTGGATCCCCGGTACCGAAAAACAAAAAAATAAAACAACAACAAAATTAAAACAGCTTAAGTAATCAAATGAGTAAAACTTAGTTCTATGTTTATGCACTCCTAATATTAAGTGTGTGTTCTGGATCCATTACGCGTACTCCATGCATCTGAAGTGACCTTTCAGAAGAGGTCAATTTAAAATCTGAGAGGTGTGGTCCTGGAGTCTGAGAGTGGGGATCTTAATCTGCACAGTGTAGGAGTACACGGAGACACAGTTTAGGTGAACTCTCCATAGATGAATGTATATTTGCCCAGCTTTGGCAGGCATTGGGTTACATGCATCTGAAGTCCTTTCCCATCATTGTGGACTTTAGGTGACCTCGTTATTTCTTTGGTTGTCTTTGATCAATGGTTCAAGAATTTAACATTTCATTTAGACATTTTTAATCAGTATATGAAAGCAGTACCTCTTTTATTCCTTTAAGATCCAAGCCTTCATGCCAGTCTGGTCCCAGGGCACTGCCTATGTTACCAGCTTTAGCTTTGGCACTTGCTTCTTTTTTCTTTCCTGAAGAAATGATTTCATGTGATATAGACAGATCAGTGCCTGTGCTGTTCAGCTTTTAGGGCGTGACACCATCCTCACACAGAGAAATACAAGGCACGACAAAACCAGTTTATATTATCATTTTATTATTTTAGTGTTCTATGAACTAGCTATAAAACAAACCTTCACTTAAATGTCTATAAACACTTAACATTATCTTTTGGACATTAGAAAATTAGTTAAATTGAAGAGTAAGAAAATTAACCATCAAAGTTTTTCAATTTTAGTTCCTTCAAAACTCACAGACTTTGTTTTGTAAATGCCAAACATTTTTAAAAAGCCATTAAACAAAATTAAGTTGCACAAAATTAGCTGCAAAATTGGATTAAATTGTAAACATTTTTTACCTTTCATGTTGCCCAATTCTAACGTGTGTTTGCAAAGTTGCACATAGGCTAGTTTATTTCAATTTCACTTTATATTTCCTGTTTTAATTATCTGAATATACACATACCTGTGTATATATATAGGCTTTTTAGAAAATCTATAAACTTTATATAAAGATACAGAAATAAATATCCATATTTCTGTTTCCCAAACAGATTTTGTAAGAATTTTCTAGAGCCTGTATCCATATGGTGAAAATAATCCCGTGTGGGAATTAGCTGGATGGAGGCTACACTTACCTTCAGTTGTATATTTAGTCCTTTTAGGTGGAATTCTGGCCTCTGGCTTTCCAGAGATGAGCTTGGAAGTCAAAAATTCAGCTGCTCCTGCATCGAAGAAAGTATTCCCAATAGCCTTATCTTTAATGGCCCAAATCACTTCACAGCCTTCAATTTCATACCTAAAAGGAATATTAAAGTTATTCAGAGTAATCTCAAAAGTCTAAGTAGAAATCTCCAAATAACAGTTCTCTCTTAGAGAAAAAGTACAGAATATATTTTAAGACAAATTTGGAAAGACTGCTTATAAAGAGAAATAGAACATAATTAAAAGCTGTTAAAAACAGAATAAACACAACAGAAAATGTCACTAGTTTACTGAAGGAACCTATATGTGATAACTATATGTACCATGTAGCAGTAAAATTTTATAAAATGGTATCTTGTCAGAGTGTTTAAGTGTACATTAGAGTTACGCGAATGTCCTCCAGGGTTCAACTTGTAAGCAGCGCTTTATTTATCTGGCTACTGCAAGATCAAGAAAGGCTGGAGAGTACATAGCTACAATATGGGGAATAGCTGGCTTCCCTGATAGTGAATTTTTTATATATTCAAAGCACCATTTTATGTAAGAGGACAGAGAAAGGAGAGAGAGCTACAACTTAAAATTTGTAGTTATAAAGAAACATAATCTTCAATTTTCCTCATCTCATAAATTCCAAGATGCAAGGAAAGATCTGGTTCATAAAAAAAAAAAAATCTAAGCAAAGAAAGATGCAGTTCATAAAAAAATAAGAGACATTAGAGGAAAAAACAGATGGTCCTGACAATGCACACCATTTGCCGTTACTCTAAAGCCAGAGATCCTGGCACCGTGGCTCACTTCTAGGTGAGCATGTAATGCAAATTTCAGGAAGTCGTTGACGTGACGTCCATTTTAATTCAGATAATCCTATCACCTGTCATCTACTCCATGAGACTGTCTCCCAATAATTATTTTGATCATAGTGTAAATGGAGAAAATATCAAATAGGACATAGGACTTCTTTGAACTTGCAATAGTAATAAGAATATTGTATATTAATGTATGAATTCTAATTTTAACATTTCAGCAGTATGAAGTATTTCCTTTTGTCTTTCATAGACGAATATAGTTAGATTAAATGACTTCTCAAGACTAATCAATAAACAGGCAATACAAAAAGTTTAATTCATCCAATTCCAGGTTAAAAATTACATTCATGCTTTAAGCACCTGGGCAAGGAGCCCTCACTTCAGGCCTTAAGAGCCACTAAGTCTCAGAACATTCAATTTCATGCGACAGAACATGCTGTTTTTTGTTGCTCAGATCATATAGGATTGCTGCTGAACACAGAACAGACACACATGTGGTAACTAATTTTACGTTTCATTTGACATACAGGCTTGTGGAATGTATTTCTTTATAAATTAGAAATTTCCATATAATAGTTTTTCATATGTTAAGGTAACGTAGTGGCACCACACATGCCACAGCAGCCTGCTGCGCTGACGAGCAGCTAGCAGGGCCATCGCTGGCTCCAGCGCCGACTGTGCTTGTTCCACTTCGCAGGATGCCCTGTAGCTCTCCTCGCCTGACCTCGGCTGCGCGCTCAGCGAGATGTACAGGCTTGGAAGTGTCAGCACACGTACAGGAAATACTTTCGCCTTAAAGCTACTCTAAAAACAGACTACAGTGTGGTATTACAGTATTGTGAAATTTGAAAAAACTGGGTCTGTTTGAAAAGGAAAGCATTAGCCTGAACTTGAGAAGAAGCAGAGACCCGACCTGAAACAAACACTGATGAACTTCGTGGGACTCCTATAGGCTACTCCCGAGTGGAACGGGTGGAGTATGCTGGTTTTCATCCTGTGCTACAAAGACCTGAGGGAATCCAAAGTCAGAGAACGGTACTACGTGACACCTTTCTTACACTATCAAAGAAGTGCTTATAAACAGAAAATTGTGGGCTGGGGAGATATCTCAGTGGTCTGAGCGCCTGCCTGGCAAGAGCAAGGACGCGGGTTCAATCCCCAGTACCACACGTTGTAATGGCCCCAGAACCCAGGGTGTGGTGGTGCACAACTGTAATCTCAGCCCTGGGGAGGTTGAGACAGGAGGATCACTACAGGTCTGAGCTGCACAGTGAGACCCTGTACTGAATAAATAAAATATTAAAAAATAAAAAAAAGAAAATTGCACATTTTAGACAAGTAGATAGTCCTCAGGATACAATTTAAAAGACAGGATTATATATTGTGAGAGTCTTCACACCTTTGAACAAAAGAAATATTTTATTTATTTGCGGAACCAGGGATTGAACTTAAGGCCTTGCACTTGCCAGGGAAGCGCTTACTCTACTGAGCCATCTCCCTGGGCCCTAAAAGAAATATTTTAAACATACATAATCCAATAAGTCATACTTTTAGTGACAGATGATAGAGACTAAAAACATTCCTGAACCATTTATGTTTTAAAAGGAAATTTCTGCAGTCTTATATTCTATAAGAGCTAAAAAATAAACTGGATATTTGCCCCTGAAAATATGAAAAATAATTATATTTATCTTTGATTTTCAGCATATAAGCTTTTCTAGTAGGCCCACAATCACATGAATCTCCAATTTTTAAACAGTATTTAAAAGCATATACTTACACCAACTCCAGTGCGATACCACCATTCCCAATGATCATTATTCTTTTCGCTTTAGTAAGCTGTTTCTGAAATTCCTATATTAAAAAGAAAACGAGAGTGCCTTGAAATAGTGAAGCAAGAGGCCTCACTGATACTCTTCTGAAGATCTATTTTATCAGCTTGCAAAGGAGCAACCACACAGGTCTTGCTTCGCGGTCTGCCAGGATGTAGCCTCCCAGTGACCGTTCCCAGGCTCCTCTTCATGCTCCACCTGAAGCGCCCTGACCTCGGTGCTGCTCCTAATTCTCCTTGCCTATTACGTGACTGCATCTGAAGTCCTTCAGATGTTCAGGTAAGGCCTTTGCCACAATCCGAGCCATGCACAGGATCAATCAATTCTACTCTGCCTAGCCTCTCAGGTGACATGTCTCTAGTGTCCCTTAGTACAATACTTCTGAGGGACAATGAGACGTGCAGCTGTAGAGTGGGTGAGAGCAGAGTCTGGAGTGGTCAGTGGTGGCGAACCCATGGCGCACATTATTTGTGTTTCTTTCGAGACAAAAGATGTTAATGTATGAGTTGCTTTTTCTACACTAAGTTCTTAGTGTTCAGGTGTAACTGCAGCATTGGTCTTTTGTGGTAAATAAGTGGGTTTTGTGTTACAACTCTGGCCCTTGTCTCTGAAAGGTTCACCAGCACAGTCTGGAGTCACTGGCCTCAGCAGCTCCTAACTGGATGACCTGCACAAGTTGCTTAACCTCTCTGGACCTCAGGTTCCTCAACTACAGAAAGAAACAAGTGACTTCATATCCGTCATTTCTGAATGGACTGTGTGTAGCTAAAGCTATTATAAATATCAGGCACATCATGAAGTCCAGCACTGATTGAAAAAATGCTTTAATTACTATTATAAGACAGGTAATTATTCCCCCCACCCTGGAAAAAAATTATGATGAGCTGGAAAAGTTAGTGGTAACAACTCTTCTGGCCTTTCAAAAGTATAGTTTTGGGGCTGGTGAGATGGCTCAGTGGTCTAAAGCACCTACTTAGAACAAGCTTAGCAAAGCACAGGCACCGCGGTTCAATCCCCCAACACCACATGCCAGCCCGCCCTGCCCCCTGGTGGGCTGAGCTGCCCCCCCCCCCGCCACATAAATAAATAAAAATTAAAAAAAAAGTGTAGTTTTATTGCTCCAGAATATCTCAGTGCAAAAAAAGTTCCTCTACCTACTACCTCAGTTATTTCTGTTGCTAGAATGACCCAAAAGCTTATACTGTTTCATAAATTGATGTAATATTCTATAAGAAAATAAATGAAGTTGATAGTACAATTTAATAAAGATCTGAACCCTTGAAGAAAGTATACTGGACACAGATGAAAAGAATAAATTTAGGCCTGGGAGATGGCTCAGTGGAATAAGCACTTCCCGGGCAAGTGCAAGGGCCTGAGTTCAATCTCTGGTTCCGCAAAAAAAATAAATAAATAAAAAAGAATAAATTTAAACTAAACTTCCAGCTGGGTATGGCGGTGCATGCAGGTAATCCCAGCACTTTGCGAGACTGAAGCAGAAGGATCCCAACTTCAAGCCCATCCTGGGAAACTTTCTGACTTAACAAGACCCTATTTTAACCCCTTTCCCCCAGAAAAGTGGGGAGGTGGAGGGCTGGGGACGCAGCTCAGTATGAAGGCACTGAGTTCAATTCCCAGTACTGTAAAAACAAAAGCAAACATATTTCTGATGAATGTAATAGTTACTTTAGAATAGGAGTATACATCATTTTTAATCTCACTTTCCTATCTTGTATATAATATTCTAAATGAGGAGGTATTTTATCCAATGTATACATAACAAGAGTCTCATTTTCCCCCTCCACCGGGATGCGCCCTTCCCCTTAATATTACACGTGCTCATTCACTGTTGGTCCTGCGCTGCCTTTGTGGCAAGGCCCTCTTGGGTAGCATGAAGATCACCACAAGGATTCGATGAGTTCATGCATGTAGAAGGCCTAGCTGGACAAAGCTAAGCTCAAATCCCTAATGACATGAGTCTCAACTGCTGACACAAAGACAATCAAGTTCTCTTAGTTTTCTCTAAAGTCCTAATTAAGAGAGGACTAGGCTGAGAGAAATCATTCACGGTTTTCCAGAATGTGAAACACTGTAAGAATGCAGTTATCTCGCCTTGAAGAGGACGATGAGCATGATGTTAGACAAAGTAGGGGAACAGAAGGAGGCGCCTCCTGCCCATGGGGTAATAAACTGAGGCAAATTACCCTAAGTAGTAGAATTGCGCACATTCAGAAATTTCATCTTACTTAGATGGTTAATCATGATGTTAGAACAAAGTTATGAACTAACCAAACAATAAACCTTTTTCAGTTCAACGATTTCCACCACCAAGAGCTCATGAATACTTTCTTTGCAGTGGAATAAGATCAGGATATTTTAGATATACTTGGCCATTTGGGGAAAAGACTGTTACACTGTTTAAGTGGTAAACCATATATTCCCAGCATGGAGTAGTGAATGTGTAACATAAACATAGTGGCTCTAGCTACAATATCACAGCTAAAAGAAGTACAAATTATCAACTAAAAGCAAGCAAGGTGACAATAATAAAACATATTACTATGCTTACTTGTCCTTATTTTTTGAGAGAGAGTCTCACTTTGCAGTCCTGGCTAGCCTTTAACACCTGATTCTCCTGCCTCAGCCTGCTGAGCACTGGGATTACAGGATTACGTCACAACATCCAGTTCACATAACCTCTATTTTGGCTTACAAGTTGTGACACAAAACCTTTCCTTCTGTTCTAATCAATGGGAAGGAGCACTGTCGAGTGAAACGCTTTCATTCAGATGTAGAAGAGTCAAAGGAATCTTCAGTTTCCTTCCGGTAATCAAATGTAAAATGGTACCTGAGCACTGTCTGTATCTCGGATTCCTAGTACATAAGGATTTCCTTCACATATCAACTTTGGCTTGGCTCCAGCACACAGGCAGAGTTTCTTATACACATGCTGATTGCCATCTTCTGTGAAAATACACTGTAAACACAGTAATGAAAGGAGGAGGGGAAACAAGTTTATACAGGAATATGATTTCACTTTACATTAAAATTTCAATAAGACAAAAGCTAAAACTGACATATTAAGGCTGTCTCTTGATAGTGTTCAGTATTTAGGGAAATTATAAACCTCTAATACAGTGACTTCTAATTTTAGCGTTAATTTTGAATAGCATCAGTGAGAGGGCTGGCCAAACAGCTCAGTGGATTAAAGCGCCTGCTTAGGCAGATGCAGCAGCTGGGGTTCCATCCCTGGCTGCCAGCCCCAGCCATGGGGCACACTGAGACTGGGTGTAGGGGCCCATGCCTGTAATCCCAGCTCTTGGGAGGCTCAAACAGGCGGCTCACTGGGAGTCTGATCTATGTAGTGAGACCTTGTAGACTCTGTAGACCCTGTACTAAAGTACAAAAAAAAAAAGAAAAAAAAATTTAAAAAATAACATCAATGAGTAAAACATACGTACTAGAGATTCATGGCTTTTGTTCCTTAACAATGAGTGAAAATCTACCTGAAGTAATACCCTGGGAAATTAGACAGACGTAAGTATGTGCTGCTGTGAGAAATGCTGTGCTTGCTGGAGGGGTTCAACAGTCCACCTTTGTGCCACGTACTGAGTTATGAACTGGGCACTTACAGACAACTGGGACACAGCACCCAATTCAATTCAGCTGGTGACAAGTACAAAAAAGTAGTAGCCTAACACAGCACAATTCAAGCAGAAATATATCTGTTTTCTTACAGATAACTTAGTTAGAATTTTAACTAACAGAAGTAGAAGATACTAAAAAAAAAAAAAAAAAAAAAAAAAATTTTTAAAGAAGATACTGACTTTGCCCAAACTTTAAAAAATCTCTATTTATTTATTTTTTAATTTTAATACTGGGTCTACAGGGTCTCACTATGTAGACTGGACTCCTAGTGATCTGCCTGCTTTCAGCCTCCCAAGCACTGGGATTAGAGCTGACTGCGCCGCCACGCCCAGTCTCACTGCAGTCTCTGCACACCCCGGGGGTGGGGCCAGCACAACAGGCCTGGGATGGAGCTGCCTCTGCCTAAACAGGTGCTTTAATCCGCTGAGCTATTTGGCCCGCCCGTTTTTAATTTGGTTGTTGGTCAAGAACTCTCAGTTCATCCATGACCTTGTTCTTAGACAAAGCTTGCTAAACAAATGTCTATCATCCCTGCCCCCCGATTTACCAATCTGACTGAATATAAACTAAATCAACTTCCTGGAAAGACATATAAAGTTCATCACATTCTTACTTGCCTACTTTCCTAGGCTTGTTGGCCAGGTTCCTTTACTTTTCCATACCCCAATCTCTCTGAAACCCTCACGATTCCCCATCTCCCCCTTTTCTTCTTCGGGTCTTTGAAGAGGTAATCTGCCCTTCATCTTAGAAACCCAGATTAAATGAACATTATGTGTGTGGTGCCTTCCTAAACACCTAATGCCAGAATCTGGTAACAGTTTCATGACTGTGCTTTTTATATGTCCATATAAGTATGCAGCACACATGTCTATAATCCTTGTAATGCTGACAGTTTGTAGGAGCAGGTCTCTTGTATTATTCCTATTATACTCCGGAAACTACTGTAGTACCAGAACACGATGGACACCTTAACCCAGACCAACGCCCCTGACATGTAAGATTGACAGTCATCAAAATCAGTGCCACTCAGTTTCACAATTTAGAGATAGAAATGGTGGTGGTGATACAGATGGGCTACAAGGAAGATAAGCAAAAGCTCACCAACAATGAACGTGGGAAAATATTATTTAAAATGTTTTTCTTACATGTTCTTTACTCTTCAGCTGCTTTACTCCAGATTCTATGACCTTAATGTTAGGAAAGCGACTTTCTAACATGGTACTTGGTTGTTCTTCCACATCAAATTCTTCCAATACTTTAGAAACCTTTATTAAATCCAAGAGGAAAAAGGTATACTTTCAAACGTTATTTTAGTTTAAGAATCTTAATAAAGCATTTTCATTTCCTTACATACGCTACTATTTCAAGGTCATAAAACAAGAAAGTTGACCAACTGCACTATTATTAGAGTTTGGGTCACACAGGTTCCTCAAAGGCTCATGGGCTAAAGGCTTGGTCAGCACCTGGTGGTGAATTGGGAGAAGCCGCAGGAGCAGGCAACAGTACCTGGTGGGAGAAGGTCAGTGGGAGCAGACCACAGGAGCGGATTCTGGGATCCCAGCCCCTCCTGTCTTGGCTACTCAGCTTCTACGAGCAGCTACACTCTACCAATACTCTATGCCATGGTTTTCTCCCTTGCTACAGATTCCAAAAATAATGGAGCCATTGGACCATAGAATACAATCTCTGAAACCGAACTAAATAAATATTTCCTCCTTTTAAGTTGATTAGCTCAGGTAACTTGTCCCAGAGATGGAAGGCAGACTGACACCTACATTATAAAGAAAGAATAGAGGGCTCTGCATAGTACAAGTTGAACTGAAATACTAGTTCAGTCACTCCTGAGCTTTAGCTTTCTAGCCTATAAAATGATAGTTAACACTACTAACTTTCTGTAGTTTGAACAGCTTATCAATTTCTTTATCCTTTTAGATTTCTGAGTTTCGTTTATATTTATTATCTAACTCACTGATAGGCAACCTTATACTACAGTCTTTGAATTTTTTGTTTAAAACAGTAACATGGATTGAACTCATTCTTTTATGTAGTTAAGATCACAAAGTTGGTCATTTTCCCTTGCTTCTTTGCTGTCTTATTTTTAACCATTAATTATCCTGAAAACCCCAAGCATAGATCAAACACCTAGGTTTTCAGTCCTTATCGAGATTGCTGGAAGACCGTACAACCCTGCAGATGAGTACCTGACTAAGCTCTGTAAAAAAATGCATATAAATCCTATCCAATAGTCTTTGCATTCTCACATTTGTTGCTTTCAAGAGCTCTTTACATTTTTAACAAATTATTAAGGATTTCAAAGAGCCATTCTTTATATGAATTATATATAGCAGTATTTGCGAGGTTAGAAATTAAAACTGAAAAAGTTTAGTATTTCTTAATTTATGTAAAAGTATTTAATAAATCTAATACACGATAAGCAAATACATATTAATGAAGAACCACCATTTTTCTAAAAAGCAAGTGAGAATAGCACTACTTCATACTTGTGTAAATCTTTTTCTTGGGGAGCTCATGTTCATTTAATAAAAGAATATGAAGATGGCCATAGTATCAGAATCTATAATTCCAACAGAATCCATATCAAAATTCCAATAACATTTTTCACCAATATAAAAAAAAATCCTAAAATTCCTGTACAATGACAAAAGACCCAAAATAGCTACAACAATTGTGAACAAACAGAACAAAGCCAGATGTATCAGACTACCTAATTAAAAGATAAATCATAAAAGCACAGCATTCGCAAGAACACAGTACTGCCATAAAAGCAGACACATACACCAATGGGACAAAACGGAGGCCAGGAAAAATATCCATACATTTATGGTGAATTGGCTTCAACATACTTGCCAAGAATGCATAATGGGGAAAAGATAGTTTATTTCAATAAATGGTGCTAGAAAAACTAGTTATCCACAGGTAGAAGACTGAAGTAGACTATTATTTAACATAATTTTAATAAAATTCAAATTAAAGTGGATTAAAGCCTTAAAAAGTAAAATTCGAAATTATACTCAAAATGAAGGAAGGAAAAGTTTATTTAGCTCCCAGTTACTGCAGGTTTCAGTCCATACTCGGCTGGCTCCAAGGCAGAGTGGCACAGGGAAGGGAGCAACCGCTATGATGGTGGCAAAGAACAATGAGCGAAGGGGCATGGTAGCAGCTCAGGAAGCTAGCTAGCCTCTCCCCTCCTTGCACTGTACTGCAGAGTACCTATCCCAGGGCACTCACATCCATAATTCCAGCATTTGATCAAGAATCAATCACAAACTCTAGAAGCCACCCCATGACAGCACGAGGCTTTGGGGGGACACCTAGACACAACCATAGCATATGGGAAGTGTAAAAGTCAAACTCATAGAAATAGAAAAGTAAAAGTGTGGGTAACAGACTGAGAAGTACAGGCATTGTGGAGATCTTGCTCAAAGGACAACACGTTATGGGGCTGGTGAGATGGCTCAGTGGTCTAAAGCACCTACTTAGAACAAGCTAAGCCAAGCAAAGCACAGGGACCTCGTTCAATCCCCCAGCACCACATGCCAGCCCACCCGCCCCCTGGTGGGCTGAGCTGGCCACACACAATAAATAAATAAATAAATAATA